CAGCAAGGTTACTTTCTTCTGAGGGCGGGTGGGAGAATCTGCTCCAGGCCTCTCTCTCCTAGCTTCTGGTGATCCCAGCTGTTCCTTGGTTTGTCGATGCATTGCCCCATCTCTGTCCTCATGATCACATGGCATTCTCTCTGTGCGTTGCAGTCCAAATTCCCCCTTTTTATAAGGACGCCAATTATATTAGATTAGGGCCCACCCCTAGTGACCTCATCTTAACTTGATCATTGGCAAAGCTCCTATTTCCAAATAAGGTCATGTTCAAGGGGGCTGGGGGTTACAGCTTCCTCATCTTTTGAGGGGACACAATTCAGCCCATGACAGGCATGTCCCTGCACTTGTCCCCACCTCATTTTCTTCCCCATAAGATGGGATGACAATGATATCCCCCTTAATATATGTGAAATGCTGAGCACAGCCCCCAACACATTGGGAACTTAAAGTTAGCTTCTGCCCTCCAGCGTTAGAGACTGTCTCCTCCCCCGTGAGTTATTGTCAGTTTTTTCCCAAAAGCATAGCATACTGCATTATCCTTGTGGGAAAAAAAGGAAGGAAAATAAAGAGTTTCAGTAAGTATCAAGCTTCCTTCAACCGCTAACGCAACCCCAGCCCTTCCCAGAGGGAATTGCTGCTCTTGGTTGGATGTGTGAGCCTCCAGATCTTTTTGGACTTACATACGTGTATATATGCCTATAAAATACCTTGGTTTTGTTTTACTGAGTTTTTACAAACACACAGATGATGCAATACTGGATGTAGCATTCTCCAGCCTGCTTTTTTCACACAATAGGCTATCTTGGAAATATTACCACGTGCTAACATAAAAATCCATCTCATTGTTCTGAACTACCAGCTGGAAGTCCACTGAATGGACATACCACAGCTCATTCAGCTATGATCCAGTTGAGGGCACTCTAGGTGTCTTCCAGCCCCTCACTGGGATGATGGACATCCTTGTCCAAGGTATTTGTGGGTGTTTCTCTGGGTCAGAAAGTATAAATTCCTTGAGGCTGGGATTGCTCTGGGGCTTGGGCCTCACCCATGTCCAGACCGTGAGAACCCTTCCTCTGCCATTGCTAGCCAGTCCTGCTCACACCCCCAGGATAGTCCCACTGTAGCCCAGGAGAGGCCAGAAGCGCTCTGAGCTATGAAAAGCCAGCATCCAGCGCCTTAGTGGCCTGCCCCCCAGGCAGCAGAGTTGAGGGGCCTCGGGCCCTCCTCCCCAGAAGCGCAGTCTGTCCTCTGCCCTGTGCACTGTCCCACTCGCCTGGTTGCTGGCTCGGTGGGTAACTCGATCCGGGTCAGCTGGTGGAGTATGAGGTAGTGTCTAGCTGAGCAGCATGGTATTTTATTAAGTCCGAAATGTGATCGCTACTGTTGTCACACTTTAGCGCCCCCAACAATCCCCTTGCAAATGAGAAAAACAGAGCCTCCCCACATACCTTTCCCCTGACATCAGGGAAAGCAGGGAACCCCTTCCAGAGGCCTGAGCCCGGGTGACCCCCAGAGCAGCTTTTGAGCTGGAGGGAAGGGCTGGGGGGCATAAGGAGGTGTTTTTCCAATTTCAGGCAAAGCAATGGACTGGGGTGGAGGATCTGCTATTAATTTTGTTTCCTCTGTGCCTGGGTCTGTAAAGTCAGCATTGGCTTTTAAATATAGTTTTCATTAACATATCAAGGTTGCTGGCCCCAGAATCCTTCCATCTATATGGGATTCTGTGGATCAGAGGTCTCAAACTAGGATGCCCACAGGGGCCAAGGAACCAGGTCATGAAAAGAACACCCAGCAGAGACCGATTGTCCACGTAAGAGAATGCAAGCCTTGTATTACCACACGTGTAAACTTGCAAAGTTGCTGAACATTCGGGAGACAGAGTGAGAACAAGAAGAGAGAGGATGGATGAGAGAGAGCCCCTGAATTTTACATATGGTGCTTGTTCCCCCCTCAAATTTTTTAAGCACAATCTAAAAAAAAAATGAGGGCTAAATAATATATGTCCCCAGGCCAGCTTCCAAGCTGTTCCCTAACTGAGCTTATCAACACAGAAGAAAAGTTGTCAGCCTGGTTCCTTTATCCCTCAAAAGTAGAATTTCCTGCAATGATGGAAAGACATGCACCATCCAGTATGGGAGCCACGGGCTACATCTGGCTTTTAAGCACTTGAAATAGGCCTAAGGAACTGAATTTCTAATTATATTTAATTGTAATTAATTTAAATATAACTATAAATAACCACATGTGGCTAATTGCTACTGCAGTAGTATGGCTATAGAATCTTTAAATTTGGGGCATAGCATCATGATCAGCCTCAACTACTTTAGGAAAGGACACGCCCTCTGGGGGAGGAGGGTAAATTACCCCTGAGGCCCCCAAGCCTCCACTAGCCTCCGCCTACATGGAAAAAAAGGAAACATGGAATCATGAGCAGAAGAGGTTGGGGAGAAAGCCAGACAGCTGCTGGCTCATGAGTGGCCACCCAGTGGCCACCCCCACTCCATTTTTTTTCCACCAGCACTCTTCCAAGAGTTTCTCTGTGGTGGCCACCATTTCGCACTGGCCGTGTTCTCTGTCATCTGCTCAGATTCCCACTTGCCTGTGGCTGACCCTGAAGTCACGTGGTGGGGCTTCCCTGCTGCCTCTGCCATCCAGGCCTTCAGAGCACACCGTGCCCATGCCCAGTGCTGGCCAGGCCACACACATGCAAGGTCCCCTACTGCGAGAGAACGGTAGGCTCTGAGTCATAATTTGTCACTCTCCCAGAGCTGTGCGCCACAGCAGGCCAGGGACTCTGGAGACAAACCTCACCTCCCAGCAAACCCCTGTCCGATCCGAAGCCCATTCAGGGGTCAGAGACGACCCAGCAGGGCCACCACCCCTTCTCCCTGGTCCCAGCCTTGATCCCCAAAGCCCAGGCTGTCCCAAAGGCCACTGTCCCCATCCCCACATCTCCATAACAACAAAGTTACCTCTAGACACCTTTAAAAAGTTTCATGAGGGGTGGGGTTCATGTCATCCCCCAGCAAAGCTCCTGTTCTCAAAGGCCAAGTCAGGCATCTTCCTTGTGTAAACAGAGATCTGCTCAGAATGTTGAAAACATTTTTTTCCAGCTCATACAGTCTTCCCACCGAAGGCCCAGAAATGCTACCACCACATTTTCCTCAGAGGTCAAGCTCAGAGTTGTATGTGGTTCTCCTCTCCCTGACACTCTTTGTGAGGAGAGAGCTGCCTCCTAAAACTACCTTGCAACCAAAATGGGGGCATTTATCAATCTTAACACAGTGAAAACTGTATGTATGTAGCCCCAACTGTGTTCTAGGCGCTGTTCTAGATGCTTCCAATACAGCACGTCCCTCTTCACCTCAACCCTGTCAAGTAGGTTCAGATTATCCCCACTTACCAGTCAGACCTCTGAGTTCAGGGTGCTGAGGTCAGCTGGGGGGTGATTGGATCTAGACCCCAAACCCAGGTGGTCAGATTCCAGAGCCTGTACCGCAGGGAGGGGCGCAGCACACTCACGATCTTTGCCTTACAGCCCCTTCATCCCAGTGGGCTTGATGGTGGAGGTGGGGTTGGCCGGAGGGGTCTGTGCTGCGTGTAGCTTCCGTGGGCGGCGTTGCAGGACTCCTGACTGCCAAGCGACAGAAATCCGACCCCGCTAGCTTAGACTGAAAAGTTGTGCATTAATGTCCTGTGGCAGCCGTGACAAATCACCACACACTTAGCGGCTTAAGCAGCACAAATGCGTTCTCTTCTGGTTCCGGGGGCCGGAAGTCTGAAATAGGTTTCACTGAGCTCAAGATGTCAGTGGGGCCGGCATCTTCTGGGGGCTGTGAGGGAAGAATCTGTGCCTTTTTCGGCTTCCAGGGCCCACTTGTATTTCTTGGCTTGTGGCCTCCTCCTCCATCTTCAAAGCACATCGCTCCAGCCCCCTCTTCCTGTTGTCAAACATCCCCCTGCCTCCAACTTGCAAGGACCCTGTAATTATATGTAGGGCCCACCTGGGTAATCCAAGATATCTCCTCATCCCCAATTCTTCAACTTAATCATATCTGCAAAGTCACTTAAGGTTCCACAGACATCTTTGCAGGGCTAGTTCCAGCCTCCCAGTCAGGGCGCCCTAGTTTCACTTGTGGCTGGGTCCAGCAGATCAAATAATGTGATCGGACCCCATTCCTCTCTCCAGCTCTCAGACCTACTTTCCTCCAGCAGCTCCAGGATCGGGTTCTCACTGGCCCAGCTTAGATTACGTGCTCATCACCGAAGCAGGTGCTGTGGCCTCAGGCAGCCTGAGTCTCTCTGATTGGTTGAGTCTGGGTCATGCGCCCACCTCCTTCCTCATCTCCTCTTCTTGGTCTTAACTCACATGTGTTAAGGTGTTTCTCCAGAAAGTACAGAAATCTATGGGTGTTGGAAAGCAGCATGTCGTTGGAGTCTGTTGCATGGCAAGCCCTTGGAAGTGCTTGATAAATGAGGATCACAGATCATGGGACACAAAGGGGAACTTGGGAAGGGGTACCTCCAGAAGCTAATGCTTAAAGAGGAGAAGGGTCACTAGATGGAGGAGGCAGAAGAGCATTCCCAGCAGAGGAAACACCTTGAACAAGGCAAAGGCTTCTACTAAATGGCCAACGTGACCATATTTCCCAGTGTACCTGGGAACGCAGGGAGGTGGTCCCGCTTTGTGCCTGTCCTCCTGTGTAATACTAACAGCAGCCCCCTTTACGTGCAAAACTGTCCCGGTTTGCATGGCAAATTAATATGTTCACCCACCTACCCCCTTAGAATGAACCTGCTCCTTTGTAGGAAACCACAGGCAAAGAGGGGATGAGAATAAGCCCGAGGTCACCTGCCCTGTAGTGGCAACGCTTGGACTGGAATTCAGGACTTCTGACTCCGAGGCCATTGCTCATTCCACCCCTCAGCTCCTAGAGGCTGCAAGAGAGTAACCAGTCGTGTTTCTCCCTCTTTTTCTCTTCTTGCCAAATTCTCCGTAGGACTGTGACCAGATCCACATTGATGACGTCTCCTCTGATGATAACGGACAGGATTTAAGGTAGGGATTTGGGGAGTCACAGACGCCCAGACGCCCCTTCTGCTTGGCGAGCGATCTTGCCTTGCACTGGGAGGCAGAGAGGAGGGGCGGGCTGGTTTTCAATAGGAGGTGTGCCTGTCTGCAGCCACAACTGGGCCGTGTGCTTCTCTGAACTCAAAAATCACAACGCAGCCTCTACCCTGCAGCCTCTTCCACATCACCTCTTATTGCTGAGGCAGAGATTTCCACAAACTCTGTGACTCTGCTTAGGTTTATCTCTCTATGCTTTCTTTCTGGCCTGCCAAAGTAACTCATGCATATCGTAAAAAAATTCAAACACCACGTCCCATCTTGCCTCCCGGAATCACCATCATTAAGAGTCTGGTATACGTCCTTCAAAGGCTTGATTGCATTGATTAGCACATATATATTATTTCATATAAAAGTTGATATAGTCAATACTCAAAACAATATTTCTTGAATGAATAAGTGGTATGTCTGGTTTTGAGGGGAAAACACTCCTAGGACATGGATTCTGGAAATAAGGTACCCAACCACTTGGAACAAGACAGCTTTCAGAGGAATGTAGCAGGAATGTTCCAAGCCTGCCCCCAAGGAGACTTTATAAAAATAGAACCATAGCGAATCTGTGCTTATATTATCACAATTCAATGCCTCTTGGCCCACCAAAAATAATACTAGACCAAATAATTTTTTGATTACAGTCATCATAACTTCACTTAGTGTCTGCTCCCTGGGTGTGTCTTCCAACTTGCTCCAAAAAAAAGAAATCAGACTTTCTGTTACTGAGCCCTACGCGTCTTTTCAAAGCCCAGCACAATTAGAGGCGATAGGCGGGCAGGCGCCTGCTTCGTTTTAATCTGCTATTCAGAAAACCCCTTCCTGCAGTCAAGAGCAAGGCTCCCGGGCCAGCCAGGAGTTCTCAATTTATGGAATAAACCCCAGATCAAGGTTAATTGTGTCCTTTCCATGAAGTCATCCCCGGGAACCATTTTCCCTTTCAAGTCAATGAGCAACCAGGGTTCCATTTTTATAGCTTCCCCTCTGGCTGGCTGGCTTGGAATTCAGAGCAATGTTCTTTTGAGCCCTGTCTCATGCTGAGCTGTTCGGTACCTCCTTCAAGAATCCACAATCCAAGGGTGTTCTTCCCTCAGCAACCAAATTCCCCATTTATTCATTCAGAAACTATCTCCTGAGTACCTGCCAGGCGCTGGCACCAAGCAGCAAATGCCCCTTCTTTTTGTTTTTTCAGTTGACAGTAAAAACCAACCTTGGTAACGCCCCTTGCTTTGCGCCGCACCCTGTTGCAGATGGTCTCCGTGGACTAGCTCACTCATCTTCACACTTACTAACTAAGACCTAGATGCTTTTATCATCATCCCCATCTCACAGTTGGGGGATTGGAGGCACAGAGAGGTTAAGTAATCCACCAGCCTCACCCAGCGGGTGAGTGGGAGAGGCAGGAGTCCCTGCCCTCCACCTCTTGGAAGAACATCCAGACATCTCCCGTGGATGTCCTGGAGTTTATAGTCACCCTCAGTGCTGTTTTTCAAAAATAAATGATCTAGCCCTTTCATACTACCCAGGAAGGGGTCCATGGGCATTGTTCTGGGTTCCCAATGTAATTTAAAGGGAAACTTCCACAAAGTCCAGCATCCTTGATGTCTTGCAAATGAAGGAGGAGCGTGTCCTCACATGCCTTGCAGAAGGAACCCACTCAGGTGGCACCAACCCTGACTCCAAACACAACAGTACATCTACAAAAGGAGTGTTGGCATCTACATCATAAAGCTGAAGAGAACCTGGGAGAAGCTTCTGCCAGCAGCTCGTGCCATTGTGGCCACTGAAAACCGGGCTGATGCTGGTGTCATATCCTCCAGGAATCCTGGCCAGTGAGCCGTGCTGAAGTTTGCAGCTGCCACCAGAGCCACGCCTCTTGCCAGCTGCTTCACCCCTGGAATGTTTGCTAACAGGAGCCAGGCAGCAGTCTGGGAGCCGAGACCTCTGGTGGCTGCTGATCCCAGGGCCGACCACCAGCCTCTCGTGAAGCTCTGTGTGAACCTGCCTATGATCACTCTTTGTAACACGGACTCTCCTCTGGGCTGTGCAGACACTGCCATCCCTGCAACAGGGCTCCCTCAGCGGGCCTGACGTGCTGGATGCTGAGCTGGGGTGTTCTGGGCATGCGTGGCACCATCTCCTGTGAACACGTGTGGGAGGTCGTGATCTCTGCTTCCTCAGAGGTCCTGGAGGGATGGAAGAGGAAGGGCAGGCCCCTGGGGAAGAGGCTGTGGGCAAGGAGGACTGTCAGGCGGAATGGGTGGCTCCTGCTCCCACATTTCCTGTCCTCAACCCAAGGTCACAGATGGGCCTGGAGGCACACTGGGGCTCCCTGTCTGTCCAGCGGTTCCCTCATGAAGACCGCAGCGCTCAGCCCAAGCTCACCACCAAAGACAGGCCTGCAGCTTCAGTGCCCAAGCCATGAATGGGCAGGAACCCACCGAGTGGTCTTAAACTGTTCCTCCATAGTAGTCTAAAATCAAAATAAGGATGATGGAAAATAAAGTTCCTAAAAAAAAGTAAATAATCTAGCAAGATGGAAAACTCTACAGTAGAGAGGAAGGAGGATCAAAGTATAGGTTCTGGAGACAAGGGGATGTGATCAGGGGAAGTTGTATTGCCTCCTTCTTATCAGGTTAAGAATGTGCTAGAAAAGTGCCCAGCACAAGGGAGTCCTTGAGAAAAGGCCCTCTGTCCTGTGGTGAGGTGTTGTCTGCTCCTTTTACCAGTTGGTAAATTTCATTTATCTTCAGCCCCTGGTTATCACCACCCAAGGCGGCAGCTGAGGAGGGAGAAGGAACAACATGTCTGGTGATAAACCCACTGACGTCTGTCATGGGGAAGAGGAAGATTTTGTGCAAACAAGTATCGGAACAGCCATACTGTCTTCTCCATGGGTCTTACCATTTAAGTAATTCAGTAAAGAACAGAGAAGAAACTTACAACCACCTCTATTTGCAATCTCGAACTAACCACTTTCGGACATTATGACTTACTTGCGTCCCATTTTTTACACACTCACACTCACAGATATGTCTGTATGAAAAATGGCACGGGTGAATGTGGGGGGGGTGGTTAGATGGACCCGTAGGCGAGAATTTAAGGCTGTCTGAAGGACTTCTGTCGGCCTGGTGGTGTCTGTGTGACTGTCCACACAGCCTGCTCTGGAGGCAACACTGGCGGGCTGCTCATGTCCTCCTGGCCTACCTGCCCCAGGAAGCCCCAGGGCGAAATTTCCTGTTGAGGGTGGGACTTCACTCAAGGCATTTCTGTGGCCCCTGCAGAGTTGTTGCCACACCAGATCCTCTTCCCTGGGAGCAGTTTTCCACCCAGGCAGCAAGGCCTGGCCTCTGCTCAGAGACAGGCTGAGCCCAGGCACTGAAGTGGTGACAGCAGCAAGTCCCATCCCTCTGCGCTCTGGCGCCCGGCATGTCACCCTCCTGGCCCTTCCCACTCTTTAAGTTCCCTCTCACTCTGCCACAGGAGTGGCGTTAACCGGAGGCACTTGAGGTACAATTTCCAAGGGGTGTTTCATTCCTATTGCATTGCATCTTCTAAAAATATATATAATGTTTCTCTTTTTCCGCTCTTAAACTCATCACAGAAAATCCAGAAATAGCAAAAATAGATCAGAGAGAAAAACCTCAGCCACGCTCACGCCCTGAGACAGCCCGTGGTACCGCACTGACTCGTTTCCTTCTGGTCTTTCTCTGAAGAGACTTTCATCTTCTAAGCGTTCGGTCCTACATCCCGTGCGCCCTCTGGGTGGTACTTCCCTGCAGCTCCATAGCATAAGCAACACGCCTGGGAATTCGCAACCCTGTACAAAGCCTCTGGTGCAGGCTTCCTCCAAAGGGCTGGGGTTTGCATTCTCGCAGGCTAGTTGCTGTGGGTGGTAAATCGCCCACATGTTCCCCATCTGGTTCCCAGCTGCCACTTCTGTCATTAACTTGTGTAACATTCTGACTTGTCACCCATCTACGTGTAGAACTTCCTAGCCCGGAAGGCTTCCTTCAGGGTGGGGAATTACATCCGCAAATCGACTCTGCCTACTTGAACAAGTAAAACATTTTAAATAGGGAATCTCTGTGGAAGGATATGGAGATAGATGCTCACAGAATGGGAGAAATGGGTGAGCAGCCCAGCCTCCTGGGGGGATGGGAAGCAGGACAGATGTGGGGGTCAAAGGAGTGGGAACTGACACCTTCTTCCGGACCCTTCTGTTAGGATGAACCAACTCCATCTCCTTTTGGAATTCCCTTCCAACTTCAAATTCTAAAGAGAGAGAGGCTTCCCCTTGCTTGGCCACTGCATGCAAGGGATGGGGATAGTGCCCCCCAAAATAGAGATGTTATCTGATACCAAAAGAAAGGAAAATGGATGGTGATTAGGCAAGAATAAAAGGTGCCTCCATTCTTTGGGAAGTTGATTCAAGCTACAGACCTGCTCCTCCAAGTGCACATTCAGGGGCTTGAATGCCCTAAGCCCCAACCTGTGTCACAGGGGGCCTGCGGTCCCCTGGAGAGGAGCCTCCCACCCCCACTCCCTACACTAACGCTGTCTCTTCTCCACCCCCATCCCCCTCCTCTGTCCCCAGCACGTACAACTTCTCGGCTGATGGCTTCCACAGTTCAGCCCCGGGAGCCAACCTGTGCCTGGGCTCCGGTGTGCACGGCGGTGTGGACTGGATGAGGAAGCTGGCCTTCCGCTACCGGCGGGTGAAGGAGATGTACAACACGTACAAGAACAACGTTGGCGGTGAGTGGGCCAGAGGAGGGCCACCCCAGGGGCCAAGGCCTGCCTGTGCAATTGCAGCAAGGATGGATGTGTCACTCACATCAGTCCTGCTCTGCGCCGGGCGCTGCTCTGAGAGGCTTACCCCTGCTGGCGCCCTCACTGCAACCCTCGGGACGCCCACTGGAAGAGGCACTAGTATTTCATCACCCTCATTTTGAGGGGAGGACACTGAGGAGTAAGAGAAGCATCTTGCCCGAGATTATACAACCCACAGATGGTGGGGGTGGGCGTGGGGGGTAGGCCCCTCCCTCATGTCTCAGCCACAACAGTGGTTCTCCAAGTGTGGTCTTCGGACCAGCGGCATCAACGCCACCTGGAGACTTGTGGGGAGCACAGATGCTCTGGCCCCACCTCAGACCTGTCAGATCTTAAGCTCTGGGGTGGGCCTGGCCATCTGTGTTTTAACACGCCTCTTCACACGCAATTCTGATGCTCGCTGGAGTTGGGGACCAGTGGCTTCAGCCTTCACTGCTCAGACTGTGGTCTGTATCCAGCCACATAGCATCACCTGGGAGCTTATTAGAAATTCAGACTCTCGGGCCCCACCCCAGGCAACTGAGTCAGAATCTGCATGTTTAACACAGTTCCCAGGTTATTTGTGGAAACTAGAGTTGAAACAGAACTAGATGTCACTGGTTCTAAACTTGGCTCATATTGGAACCAGCTGAGGAGTTTCCAATTCCGATTTTCTTGGCCTGGCTGCAGCCTGGACGCCGAGGTTCACAAGGCCCCATGGGCGGCGCCAACGTGCAGCCAAGGAGAAAGCTCCGGCTTGAGTAGCAAGAGAGCATCGGTTCACACAAGGAACGAGCCGTCTGGAAGGGGCTAGCGGCACGGCCGGCTCAGCAGCGGCCAGGCCCCAGATCACTCTTGCTGCCATTCTCTAGGCCAGTGGTTCTTAGGAGGAGGGGGTACTGCATCCCCACCAAGGAGGCATTTGGGGGTGTTTTTGTCACAGCGTCTGGAATCAGCTGCTGGCCCACAAGGGAAGAGGTTTGAGTAGGCGGCCAATGACGTCCACCCTATACACCTTGGCCCCAAAGCTTTTAGGGTCCCCTCTCCCTTCCCAGGAAAGAGTAGAGTCCCAGGCAGAATTTAGGGTGTCAAACTGGGCAGAATGTGTTTCCAGTCCCAACGTGCCACTTTCCAAGCTCTCTGCACCTCTGTTTCTAAGCCTATGAAATGGGGATAAGAAGAATTCTGCTTCCCTGGGTTATTGAAAGGTTAATGTTAATCTATGCCCAAGTCATGGTATATAGCAGGCACACAGTTCCTTTGAGTTTTGCTTGGGAGTCTTCCTGGCTCTGCCATCTCTTCTGCTGGCCCGGATAGACCGTCAGGTCTTGGGGACAGATTTTCCGTCTTGTCTGTGGCTGCGGTCCTGATACACCCCAGGCAGCAGCTAATGTCTGCTGAGTGCTTACTCTATGACCGGCTCCATTAGAAAGCTTTTCATCTAATTCGCTCTTTTGCTGTTCACAACATCCCTACCAGGTAAGTGCTTTTATCATCCATGTGTGTGAAGGGGGAGACTGAGATCAGAGAGGTTAAGCAACCTGCCCAGCACCCCACAGCACAGACAGCAGAGCCACCAGGGAATCCCAGGCCCCACCTCGGCCCGCACTCCGTGGCCTCTCACATCCGACAGCCTCTGTCGACTGCAGGAGTGAAGCAGAGAGCATCAGGCCAGCCCCCTGCTTGCTCACCCACCTCTGCAGGGAGAGAGGAGGGACCAGTGTGCCAGGGACAGGGGAGACAAGGAGGGAGCCGGCCAACGGAGGCCATCTGCTGCCTGGGCAGGTTTAGTGCGGCAAACACCCAGGGCTTCTTTCAGACTGCTTTGCTCCCCTGTATGCTGAGGGGAAGCCCCAGTGGGGCCACAGGCAAGGAGCACACACCTGGCAGGCTGAGGTGGGCAGCCCCGCCTCCTGCCCCCACTTCTTGCAGCTTCTGCCCACTCTGCCACCACCACCACCCCCAGCTGTTTCTCTGTCACTGGCCTCCAGCCTGAGGGGCTCCCAGGATTCCCAGGGTTTTAGAAGATGTGCTCAGAAGAGAGACTTCTGCAGCATGCAGGATGAAGGCCAAAAACGCTCCATAAGTCCGTCTCTGGAAGGCAGTGGTTAGGTTCAGAGGCCTCTGCCTGACTTCATAACTTCCTCTGCCATGTCCTGGGTAATCCTCAGCAGGTTATTCGACCTCTCTGTGCCTAAATTTTCTCATGTGTAAAATGGGGATGATGCTGCCCAACTCACAGGATCAATGTCAGAATAATGTGAATTAATACATGGAAGGTGCTCAGCCCAGTGCTGCCACACAGTAGGCACTTCATAATTGCTGCTCTTGTTACCTGGGGAAGGAGACCAAGCCTGGAGGAAATGCTGCAGGTAGGAGGCAAACAGTGATTGCAAGTACACTTCCCAGCTAGCTACCCATGGCACATAGGTGGGGAAGCCTTCTGCAAACTGTAAAGTGCTGTGCCCCTAAGAGTTTGGGTTGCTACTAAGGACCCCAGCTAAGGGGCTGTAGGGAAGGTGAAGAAAGAAAGGAAAACCAGAGGCCACCTACAGCATTTTGTCTCTGTGAATTCATTCTCCTCGAACAGATACTGACCGAGCACCAACCACATGCTGGCCCCTGCTGTAGGGGCTGGTAACGTGGTGGTGAACAATGCTGATTTGGTCCCCACGCTGATGGAGCAAATAATCAGTGGCCAAGGCAGACATCGAACATGTCATCACACAGATACGTTTTTAAATTACAGTTGTGACAAGTGCTATGAAGTAGAGGTACAGAGAGGGTTTCAAATAGGGAGACCTGACCAGGATGGGCCTTGCAGAGTGACGTTTAAGATGAGGGTGAAGGATTTGGCCTGGAAGAATGGTAAGATGAGGTCAGAAGAGTGGTCCAGGTTCTGAAATGAGATGTGCAAAGTCCTGAGACAGGAACATACCTGATGTTTCAAAGCACCAAGAGGGGGGCCCTGGGGTTGGAACAGAAGGCCATCCATGCAGTGGTTAAGAGATGAGACTGGCAACTGGGTCAGGGCAGGGTTACAACTGTGGAGTCTGAATTGTACCTTAAGGGCCCTAACGGCTGAGAAAATGACAATCAGGTTTAGAAACACCAGAGTGAGCTCTGAAGTTCAGCTCCTGTCTCCGTAATTCCCTCTCTACAGTGAGCAAGTCAGTTGACCTCACAAAGCCTGTTTCCCTACCTGACTTACACAATGTTACATGTCAGTTATATCTCAGTTTTTAAAAAAGAGTGTCCACCTCTAGGGTTGCTGTGAGAATAAATGAAATAAATCATCCTGAAAGCACAGGGCCCTGCACATAGCATGCACTAAATGATGTCTTTATTTTTTATTTTATTATTAATTCTTGTCTCTACTGTAACAGTATAAGCTCTGTAATCCACATGGTTTGTTCATCTGTGTGTGTTCAGTGCCATTACAATACTGAACACATAGAAGGCACTCCTGCTGAATTCTTTGTTGATGGATGGATGAGTAGATGATTAGATGATGGATGGGTAGGTGGATGGAAGGATGGATGGATGGATGGATGGATGGATGGATGGATGGATGGATGGATGGATGGATGGATGGATGGATGCATAGGCAGATGAGTGGGTGGGTAGAAGGGTGAGTGGGTGAATGAATGAATCAATCAGTGGATAAGATTAAGAGCACTTGGGTGTCATCTGATTTGAAACATCAAAGTAAAGTTGATAGACTCCCCTATCCTAACTCTATCCCCCCAGACCTCTAAAATGATAGCTCCCCAATCTTTATTTCCTTTGTCCATAGGGTTGATAGGAGCACCCAAAAGAGAGACCTGGCTACAGCTCCGAGCCGAGCTGGAAGCTCTCACCGACCTCTGGCTGACCCACTCCCTGAAGGCACTAAACCTCATCAACTCCCGGTAGGTGGGAGCCCTGTTTTCCTTTGTGCCTCTGAACTTTCTCCCATTTGAGAGTAATGGCTTCTTCATTGCCACATTTGGGAGAATGGGACTCTCCAAATTCTCACTTTCGTAATTCCCAGACATTTGATGAAGTTTGGGTGTACAAGGCACCGTGACCTCTTGTAACCTTAGCTGAGCAAATAGCTGCAGAGACTTATCAGGGCCCAACAGACCTAAAGACCTTTGTACGTAGGTCCATCTTGTCCCATCCACTCTTGCATGTTAACACCTACAAGTTATAACATTGTCCTCTGAAATGTCACAGATCATCTGGTGAGTACTTGTTGACGTAGGAAGGGTCCAGTTTCATTCTGAGCCTCCCAAGAAATTGCCTTTTCCTCTTAAATAAGATCATCTAGGCTGGAGAACAAATTACTCCTCTGCACTACCATCTAAAAACCTTGTGATCCAACTTATGAATAGTTACAAAATGGCAGCCCACAAGCTGAAGCCACCCTCCTCATGTGTTCTGTTATATACTTTGTCCCAAAGACTGGGAATGTGAATCCACAGCTCCAAGTGTCTAGGTTCTGCAAAATATCAGAAATGGCATGTGCTCTCCAGTTTGCCCAAGTCCCCACCTCTCTCTGCTGTCCTGTACTTGTTCCATATCAATCATTTACATTATCAGTAGGCCCCTGCAGCCATTAAAGTGTGTGTCCCTTGAAATAAACATTTTCCTTTTAGATAAGAAAAGTATTACATTCAAATCACATTTCAATGTCAGGCTGGCTTCATGCTTGAAAGAAAAGAGCAGCTGGAGGCTCCTTGGGACCTACCCTTCCCAGAAGACAACTTAACCAGGGCCTCCAAGCCCCACTAGAATTCCTCCTGACTCCTGGCCCACGCTGCCAGGTGAGGAGGCCTAGCCTTGCGGCACTTTGAAGTTCCAACAGACAGTCTTCTTTGTCCTCAGGCCCAATTGCGTCAACGTGCTGGTCACCACCACTCAACTAATTCCTGCACTGGCCAAAGTCCTGCTGTATGGCCTGGGCTCCGTGTTTCCTATTGAGAACATCTACAGTGCAACCAAGACAGGTAGGCAGAACCCAGACCTCAGGGCAATGCAGAGAGGGAGGGTGAGGTTAGCTCTCTATCCCGGGTAAGGAAAGCTGAAGAACTTGTCCACAGGCATGACTCAGATCCCCAAAACAACCCCCACAAACCACTTGCTGTAGCCTCTGCCTCTAGAGAAGTTGGTTTAGGACTGTAGTTTTCCAAAGGGTGTGTATTAGTTAGGACACCTACAAAGCTGCTATAACAAACACACCCTAAATATACAAGGGCTCACATCAGAGTCAAAGCTTATTACTCCTTCACATGTCAATAGGCCAGAGGTGAGTGATGCTGGCTGGTTGGTGACTCTGCCCTCAGTCACCCGGGAAGCCAAGTCCTTCCCATTTTGTTTTTCCACCACCCCCTGTGTTTTTTTCTCATTCATGTGATCAACTCAGAGTCCTGACACATCATCATTCCAGCCTCCATGAAGGGAGAAAAAAAGGAGTCATTCTTGTCCAACACATTAAAGCCAAGACTCAGAAGGGACACAGGTTACTTCTGCTCCCTCCTGCTGGCCCCAGTTCTGTCACGTGGCCATGGCTAGTTGCAAGGGAAATGCAGGCAACGCAACCCCTCTCTGCCTCAGCTTTGTAGTGTGTAGAATGGATGATCAAAATACCTCTAAACAGAGGACAAAGTTAAATAATGTACGTAAAACATGTAACAGTTCCCAGCAGAGCACAAGTGCTCAACTGTAAGAGCAGTCTTACTGTTACTATAACTCCTGTGCTCATCTTTAAGGCAGTTCACCAACCCTGAGCCTCTCACCAACCCTGAGTTTATCTCTAAAATGGGGATCAGATTCATTCCAATTTCATAAGGATTGCTGTGACAGTAAATGAATTAGTGTAAGTCAGTGGTTCCCCATGGAGGAAGCGGGGGGCAGTTTGCCTCCCAGGGGACATTGGGCAACATCTGGAGACATTTTTCATTTCCAAACTAGAGAAGCTGCTACAGTGGTCTGATGGGTAGAGACCAGAGATGCTGCTAGACACCCTACAGTGCCTACAGCACCCAGGGAAGCCCCCACAGCCGTGAATTATCCAGCCCAAAATGTCAATAGGAGCAAGGCTGAGAAATCCCGATGTAGGTAAAGAGCTTAGCAGAGTGCCTAGGCCACAGTAATTCAATGAGAGAAAGCTATTATTATCGCTCTTTTCATTAACTATTATTATGGTCACTAAACTTGCTGACACAATCAGGATGAGCTGAGGTCTGAATCCAGTGGTCTTGGGCTGATGCTCCTGCCCAGGCACCTGGGAAGAAGGAAAACAGGAAGAGGTGGTCATCAACAGGCACCAAGAAGAGCATACAGGGGAGGTGTCCTGACAGTCAGCTCTGCCACCAGGCAGCCTCTCCGGGGGCATGTGAACTCTGGCACCTCTGCTTCCTAACTCTGGGGTGTGGCCACATCACTTCACCTCTCAGAGCCTCGTGTCCTCTTCTGTAAAATGGGTCCAGCACTCCTACACCAGACAGTGGCGTGGACTTGCAAGCTGGTGTCCAGCCCCTGCAATGCTGTCTGTCCTGCTGTGTCACCCTGGGCAAGCCACTGAACCTCTCTGTGCCTCCGTGTTGTCATCTGCCACATGGGGGTGGTAACAGTGCATGCCTCAAACGTTTGAGGATAAATGGTTAATACCTGGTGCTTCTGTGGGCGGCAGCCCACAGCGGGTGGTGCCATTCGCCACCACAGCACGGTAGGTCCTCACGTAGTGTCTCTCCTTCCTTCCTTCCTTCCTTCCTTCCGGGTGTGCAGGGAAGGAGAGCTGCTTCGAAAGGATAATGCAGCGATTCGGCAGAAAAGCCGTCTACATCGTGATTGGCGATGGTGTCGAAGAGGAGCAGGGAGCAAAAAAGGTACTCCGTCCGTCTCCGGGGCTGACTCTCCCTCCTTCTCGAGCCCATGTCATGGTTTTCAAGGGCTCTTTACATGGATTTTTTTCCACCTCCGCATCGTTGGCTGGGTCCCCTGCTTCCTGGGTTCTTTGCTTGCAGGTCCATTCCCATTTGCAAATCGCCGAAGCATCCTGACTAATTTCCTTCTGCAAATCCCCCTCCGTGTCTTTGGCTGCCACCCCGGGAGCCCTGGATTGTCTCTAAGACAACTGCTCAGGAGCCCAGAGACACCCTGTCACGGCAGGCTAGTAGGGGAGTGGGGGGGGCTGTGCACGTGTGTGCATTTTATTTAATACTTACTGATCATATGTTCCAGGAACCCTTCCCAGTTAATAAAGACAGCATTAAGCTAATGAAAAGGAAAATCCTGAATTTGTGATCTTGAGCCCAGGAGGAGAGAGGTAGGGGGTTCTGGTGGCCACAGCTCTCTTCCTGGAAAAGAAACAGCTGCCAAAGTCCGGGTCTGGACCTGTCAGCAGCATCCCAGAGAGCCTGCTGTTGCCCACCCAGAGGCCTGGGAAGTGGATTGTTAATGTCACAGAGCTTAATTTGGGGGACCTAGTTTCCCCTTTCCCTCCCCAGCAACAGATTTCAAGAAAATGCAAAAATGTTTAGGGTCTCAGTGGATGAAACCTACAAGAAGTGAAAGGCTTTAGGTTTCTGAGTGAGAGGCTAGGGACAGGGAGCTTAGGAGGCTTTGCATATACTATTCCCTCCACCTGGAAGGCTCCTCCCCTTTCCCAGCTCTTCCAGAATCATCCTTTAGACCTCACCTTCAGCAGCACTTCCAGGGAGAAAACTTCCCTGGTCGGCTCCCAGTCTGATATTCCAGCTAGATCAGTGACTCTCTGTCCATATTGTTTTTCCAGGGCATCATCCCCTCTTGTCAGGAAAGAATTGCCTGTGTGATCAGTAGCTTAATCACAGACCCTCCAGCTAGTGTGTAAGCTCTGTTAGCTGTGCATCTATATGTGCCAACCACTAGTGCAGGCACTGGGGATCTACAGTGAGCGGGACAGGGCTCTCAGTCCACAGCCAGGGACAAGCAGCAAACATGTAATTGACATGCATGTCAGGTGGTGACAGGAGCTTTGGGGAAAAAAAAGCAGAGAATGGGAACAGAGGGGACTTGGGACAAATTGCAAGTATAGCCAGTGGTCAAAGCAGGCGTCACTGTGAGGCGACATCTAACCAAAGATGGAGAGGGGTTGGGCCGAATGAGTCATCAGAGGGAGGGTGTTTCAAGAGAGGAACAAAGAATTTCAAAGGTCTGAAAACTGGAGCTTCTGCAGGAAGCCAGGCTGAACCACAGTGGTGGGCCAAGTGGGTAGGCAGTGGCAGGAGGTGGGCTCGGGAAGGGACCTGGAGCCACCCAAAGGACTTCAGTTTTGACTTGAGCACTTCTTCTGAAAGTGAATTGATGTAGAGAGAAAAATCTTAATAATAGTAATAGCGGTGATACACAAAGATATGGCCAAAGCAGGGGCATGAATCACGTGCATCACCTCCTGACTTTCGGTGTTCCAGAAATACTATGCCAGGTCAAGAGGGCGGTCTATGTGATGAGACTACCTGAAGCCCACTGTCAGGGTCACAGGGGGATTCTAGAGCCCCCCATTCCTTCTTTCAAGTTCGAATCTAACTGAAAACCCTCCCTAAGCATGTGACAGCCATCAAAATAGAGCTTTGCTTCTATCAAAGTTGCATGGGAGAACCAGGCTTAGGCCCGGGGCTCCCAGTGCCCCTGTAACTGCCCTTAGGTTCCCACCTGGAAAATGACAGGGTCTCCTATGGAGCGGTTGCTGCCATCTGCCAGCCTTCTCACCATCAGAGAAGTTTTGTTAGGGCAGCATAGCAGATGTTTTGAAATGACATATACTAACCTAAAATGAAATACTTATGGGTCATATGACCTGCACATAGCCGTGATGTCCAAAAGATCGATACCTAATGGTACTATCAAAGAAAAATAAAGGGAGACTTGTTTATCCTCAAAACAGCGTGTGCTTTAGTACATAAATGTTCAGACACAAAACCCCAGTGCTCACACCCAAACGTGCTGTGGCTGCAAGGGGTCCCAGCAAACAGGTGGACACAGGTGTGCATTCCTGCCCATTCACGACCCAGGTGAGGTGCTGCAGCTGTAACATGATTTCTCCAACTGCTAACTCAGGGAGAGGTTCTGAATTAAACACAATACAGACTTCCCTGGATTTACACAGTAGTTGGACCCCTGGAAGTTCAGGTCTTATTAAAAACATGCAAAAAATACTCTATATACGACATGTAAAATGTTACAAGTCCAGCGTCCAGGCTCAGGCTATTAGAAATGAGTTTGTACATTTGAAAACCATCCAGGCCCAAGGTGTGTGGCATGAGGCAAGACATCTGTCCCCATCTGCTGTGCCCCCAAATCATTAAAATAGTAAAAAATCTTACCTCTAGAAATTTCCACAGTGACCCCTAGGGAGCAGGCTTTTCCCCCTTTGAGAACTGCTGGTCTGGGCTCACTCTCCTGTTACAGGGTCATTTTATTTAATCCTCAAATTCCCCTGCAAAGTGGGCATTGTTCCACTTTATTTTATAAAGGATGGGTTTGAGACTGAGAGATGTTAGTTAATTTTACCTAAGCTTACAGAGCTGATACATGCAAACTGATGTGTTTTGCTTCAAACACCTGGCAGGAAGGGAGGTGGACTTAGGAGTCTCAAACATGACCCATGAGCTGGTCAGACAAGATTGGAGTCCACCAAAGACTAGGGTGCACACACCCCCAGATACTGAGCTCCCCTAAAAACTTCTGCCAGTGTCTGAAGCAGCAACCCCAGCCCATTAGTGAAAAACGCTGTATGCCAGCAGCTCTCCTGGCCTGATGGATGGGAGTCATTAGCCAAGGCCACTGGATACCTGAGCGGCATGAAATATGGTGACAGGACAGAGGCTTTGACTGTTTCAGCTGACAGTGTTGTTAATATCTCCATTTTAGTGGGTCATTTGTCTCTACCTCTCCACAAGTGATAAATCCACCTGTACTCTAGAGCCATCAGGCCTGGAATGGAGGTGGCTGAGACATTCTCACCCACCTTTGCTCATTTCCTCCCAGAAAAATGAATTATATTCTTTAAAGAGGGACAGGATGGGCCTGGCAGCAACCAGAATCCACCTTTGCAGAGAAAGGAAGGCCTGCCTGGGGTGAGGAGAGGGTGGAGGAGCTGGGGTAACTGGAAGATGTTAAAGAGTTGGCATCTGTTGCCCATGATAGATGGAATTCTGCTCCCTTTGAGCAAAAGGGAAAAATATGTATTCATGGAAGACTTTGAAAAGCTCCTGTTCCCTCTTTTCCTTCCACCTCTCCTCTTTTCATTCCCTCTGTAAATATTTCCTGAGCACCTATGTTCCAGGAGCCATGCAATGCACAGTGAATATGGCATTCCAAGCACAAACCCTCCTCAGGGCCTTTGCACTTACTGTGTCTTCTGCCTCAACTACCTCCCTCACATGTTTGTGCCTCCTTCTCATCCTCTGGGGCCCATTTAAATATCACTCCTACCCTAGACAGGCCTTCCCTGACCCAGCAATCAAAAGTAGACACCGATTCTCAACTGCTTTCCCCACTACCCGCCTGTTCTTTCCTTCATAGCACTTATCACACAAAGAAATCATCTTGTTTACTTTTAACCTATGGATTTATTATCTGTGACTCCAATAAGAACCCCATGAATGTATACCCCCTATACAGAAGGCTTCACTGGGGACACAGCAGTGGACAATTGGACAAAGTCCCTCCCTTCTGGATAATCGCCCCATATCGAAATCCTTAACTTCATCACATCTGAAAAATCCCTTCTGCCATGTAAAGTCACATATTCACAGGTTTGAGGGATTAGGATGTAGACATCTTTGGGGGACTATTATTCTGCCTGCCACACACCAGAAAGGTAAAGATAAACAATGATACAATGCATTGGCAAAGTAGTAAGTGCAGACCCCCTAGAAGCAGGAAAGGGTTTGACGTGTTGCCGGAGCCAGAGGACACCTGTAGTTTCTAGCCTGTGGGCATAGAATTTCACAGGGCGGCAGAATTACCACAAGAAATCTGGGCAACCATATAGTCATCAAGCACCATCTTTTCATTCAGTAAATAATTTAAGGTCAAGGACTGTCTTGAGGAAGTTCAGTATCTTTTAGCTGTGGATAACAGAAAATTTAGGAAATGATGACTTAAACATGCTCACCCAGTAAGATTAGAAGTAAGTGTACCCTAGGTTGTTTCAGCGGGTCAAAATTTCACCAAGAGTCCCTTTCCATCATTTTCTGTACCTTTCTAACCATCTTTGGCTTTTTATTTTGTTTTGTTACCTCATGGTCTCAAAATGGCTGCTACAGCTCCAGGCACTACATACTAACATGACAGCATCCAAACAGGAAGGGAAAGTAAGGAGGGAACAGTTCTCCCAGGTGGTTCCCCTTAATCATTGAGGAAAACCTTACCCAGAAGCCCCCAGCCAACCTCCTCATTGGCTTTAATGGGTCACAAGTCAGAAAGGACACAGGACAATTCCCTAGCAAACAAGGCTGGGGATGGGCTTGTCATAGTTTACTTAGAAGGTCATAAATCATCCCCTGTGTCCTGGCACAGAGCTGTCAATTCAGGTTCTGGAAGCAAGAAAGGAGAGACTCAAAAAGCAACAACTTAAGCTAATGATTAAACTTTTCAGCCATAAAAATGCAGTGAAGTGTCTTTCCTAGAGCCCGACATGACCTCTGCTTGCCTCAGTCTCCTCATCTACAAAATAAGATAGAAATAGCGCCTCTCTCAGAGGATCTTGATGAGGCTAGATGAGGTAACGTATGTGAAGTGTTCAGCACAGTGCATGGCACACAGCAGACACTTAACAGTGTGTCACACTGGTAATGATCATAATTATTACTGGCCTGCCAATAATTCAACTTTGGTTAAGTCTATTTTCTTTTCTTCTTTCCCCCACTTGGAAAAGGTATTTTTGGTTTTGTTTCTAGGTTTTTTTGTTTTGGTGTTGCAATGAGAGTAAACAGAAAGCTCCTGACACAGGGTCTGGTTCAATAATAGTTCAGGTCAAAGATGACTATTTAAAACATTGGGTATCAGCTTACACAGTGAAACCCAAATTCTGCATCATAGTACACAGAAACTTTAATCAACCAGCCTTTCTCCAACCCTCACCCTTCCACATATATGCACACGCACGCACACACACACACACACACACACACACACACACTCACATGCACATGCACACACGCACCATGCCAGAACCACTTGCATGACTATATTCCCAAGTCCCCCTCCCCTGGCGTCCTTGCATTTCTTCCTTGGCCCACGCAGGCACGCTCTGCCTGGAACACACCTCCGTCCAGCTCCCTGCCAGCTGGGAAACCCTCATTCATCCTTCAATGCTCAGGCCCCATGACTCTTCCTCTGGGATGCCTGGCCTGGCCCCACCCTGTCCTGGGCCACCAAAAGAGGCTGCTTCCTCTTGCTGGCTCCATGACATTTTATTTATGCCTGCCGGATGGTTTATTTGCATCTTCATGGTATAATCTTATTGTTTTCTAAACTTCTGCGTGCGCCCCCAAATTCTTCCCTCTACCTACACAGTTTGCCCCGCACCTGTCCTGACTCTGTCTATATTTATACAGCTATGTCCTTGTGCATGTGGATAGAATCATAGTAGCAGCTCATATTTATCAAGCAGTCAGTATATGTGCCAGGCACTGTGAATAGCCACAACAATTGTATACGGCAAATAGTACCGCTTTTCACAGCCAAGCAGCAAAGGCAGTTGTTTAAGGTAACCCAGCTAATGATGGTAGAACAGAGCCGTGCACAGGCCACCCTCTGACGTTTAACCCTCACCTGTATTTCACGAATTTTTCTCTCCATGTGAGTGATTTCTTGCCACGACCAGCAGTAACATTACGCTTCCTACACCACTCACAACTCGTTGTATCCACATACTGTCCATACTACTACTACTTACCGTCTTCCTTTTGATCAACTCACTTATATTTAAAATTGAAAACCTGCTATCGTGACAGTCATGCAGTGCAGGCAGCACCTGCTGTAAAGAGAGAAAACGAACGAATGCGGTGCTGTTCCCCGCGGCCTGCCCCGCGCTCTCCGGGCCCAGCTCTGCTCCGCTGAAGATCAGCAGATAGTAGGGAAGGGTTAAAGACACGCTAGCCGCCAGCTGAGTCTTTCTCCTTGAAGTAGCAAAATTGAGCACAAATTTTAAAAAAGGTATAGCTTTCTTGCACATGATGAAGTCCACGTCCACGCACCACCTAGGACCACGCTGGTCCCAGTGGAGGGGAGGGTGTCCATCGATAAGCCAGGTGACATAGGAAGAGCCAACCAGAACAGGCTCAGAGGGAGTAGAAACCGTGTGGCCAGACTGGTGCGTACCGGCCAGATAGGGGTCTGCGGACAATGCCACGCGCCTCCTGGTTGGGGAAACGCCCACACCACGCTGACTTGGGTTAGCTTCTCATGAGGCCCTGACTGTGGACAGGGATCCAGGGGGCTGCAGGAGGTGCCGAGCAGGACCATAACCGCAGGGCTGATGTTCTGTGTTCTAGCACAACATGCCTTTCTGGCGGATATCCTGCCACGCCGACCTGGAGGCACTGAGGCACGCCCTGGAGCTGGAGTATTTATAGCAGGACCCACAGCACCATCTGCCATCAAGGGGCATCCCGGGCATCCCACCCACCCAGGCCCCTCGCCTTCCCTGCCTCCCCGCCAGATGCTGAGCGCCAGAAGGGTACCTTCAGCCGAGAGGACCCGTCCAGTGACCATCTCAGAAGCTGTCCTTTCAGTCCAAACGTGGGTCCTGAGAAGCAGAGTACCCAGCAGTGGCTTTAGGATATTTAACTTTGGGGGAAAGGGCTGGCTCAGGCTCAGAGTCCAGACTTTTCTACAAGACTTACAGCACAAAAGCAAGGAATTGCTGATTTGGGGGAGGGCTGGTGAGGAGGAGGGGACAGGCTCGGTTTTGTTTTTTGTTTTTGTTTTTTTTTTTTAATTTATGGACTAATGTCATTACTCTGACGACGCTCTCATACCTGTGTTGTTGGTTTTCTTAGTCGTTGGTTTGGTTTGGTTTTTTAAACTGGCATGTGGGGTGGTGTTCAGCTCTAATTTAAGTACTCTCTGCTCCAAGTTGTGCTTTGGGGGGGACAATCATTCTTTGAACAATTGGTGAGGGAGGCGATTTGGGGCTGTTGGGAAAAACTATTGCTTATTCGTTTTTAAGGACCTAACTTGACGTCATGTGGACAGTGCACGTGCCTTATGCTGCCATCTTGTTTTCTAGGAAGAGGAGTTGCTGGAGAGGAGGTGGTACTTTGTGACAGATAAGAGGCATTAAATAAAACCACGTTTACATTTTGAAGTGGGGTAGGGTACCACTACTTTATTACCATTCTTCAGGCTTCCGAATGTTTGGCCTTTTCTGAACTTTTTCAGTAGCAAAGGAATAAAATCCAACTCAAACTGGCTTAAGACAAAAAAAGAAAAATGTCTTCAGGAACTTTAGGTGTTACTGACTTCAGGCATAGCTGGATCCAGGTGATCAAATGACTTCCACCTGTGTGGTCTTAGTTCTCAGTCACACTCTTTCCTATGTGGCAAAGATGACCAAGAATTTTTTTAGCAAAACCACACCTATAGAAAGAGCACTTCCAGCACAGGGGTTCTGACAGAGCCCCAGGACTGTATCTCATTGTCCAAACCTGAGTCACGGACTACCCATGGAGCTCAATTTAGGGTTTGATCCCTCATGAACAAAAAATTGGGGAGACCTGGCCTCCCAAAGAGAAAATCTGTGGGCTATTACTAAAAGACTGGGGAAAATTGCATGGTTGAACTAGAAAGTACAACCGACTTCCATTCCAGTGATTAGACTTCATTTTACAGTAGGTGAGCCACGAATCCAGTATAGGGGGCAAGGAGGGGCAATTGGAAAAGTCCTGAGGATGCCTTGAGCATTGTTTCTGCCCACAGAGTTCCAAGTAGAGCCTGATTCCATCTGATTGGCTGCTAGACATAAGTAAAAGCTCCTTCCCCTCTCCGTGTTGGTAAAATCCAGGGTTACCAACTGGCTGGTATCCATGTCAGTGGAAATGGGAGATGACTCAGTGATTGGCATCTCAGAGCTAGAATCTCTGACGGATAGAAAACCATCACCAAGGGTGAGATAGACTCCCTTACTAGACTCTGAGCTCCCTGGATGCAGGGCTATTGGTTTTCAAATCTGTATCCCCAGCATCAGATGTGCTTGGAATCAATCCACAGACTGTATGCTGACACAAATTAGAATCCCATTATAGATGAGATAGAAGGAAGGATGGAAGTATAATTGGAATCATAGTCAGATGGGTAATTGGATGGGTGAATGTACATTTTGGACAAATGGATGAATAGATGGTTCAAGAGCTGAGTGGGTGGATGGATGGTTGAGCGAGTGGAAGACAGATGGCTAGCTAGGTGATTGGAGGATGAATGGATCGACGTTGGGAGGACTAGATGCATGATTATGTAGATTATGAGTAGATAGATGATTGGCTGGACAACTGAATTGATGACCAAGTGGTTGTATGTAGTGAAATGAATGGATGGATGGTTGTTTGTATATGTGGTTTTATGGAAACATGGATAGATGATTAGGTGGGTGAGTGCATAAATGAGTGGATAGATGTTTGGGTGGGTAGATGGAATGCGATGATGGCTGGTTGATGTGTGGTTAGTAATAATCCAAAATGGTTGGATATGTGGATGGGAGAATGGTATAAAAGTTAAATGGATGGATGCATAAGTGGAGGTGAAGAATCCCTAAAGTTGCCTAAAATACCTGGATTGCCCTCACGATGATCTGTCAGTTTAAACAACGTCTAGAATGAGTAGAGTTTTACTGGATGAATTGGCTTCCGACTAGAGTAGACAGAGACTGGAGCAGAGGCACCCTGGGAAGTCACTGCTGTGGAACTCCTGTGCCATCCCTGTCCCCCCACTGTCTCAATGCCTGCTTCTCGGGCACCCACCGCAACCATGCTCTGACCATTTCCCCCTTCTTGCCACTGCCAAAACTTCCGTCAGCAAAAATTCTGTTGAGAACTGAACAAAAAGTAAATTATTTGTAAAAGGGGTTTTTATTTTAATAGACTTCCATTTAGAGGTACTAATAGTAGACTTACAGCCATCCACCTAGGAAGAAGCTTGGGGTAAAAACAGATATATTCCCTCTAATCCTGAAACTAACTACCTAGATGGTCAACTACTTTACTGTTGTGTTGACTAAATGCCAAAGGCTGGTCTGACAGAAGCCCGCAGTCCACAGTCTGTCAGGTAAGTGTTTTAGCCTTCATTCTAGATGAGTCAGATGCCACTGGGCAAGAACAGTCTCTTTCTCATTCTTTACACTCAGTGCCCATAACAGAGTATAGCACGGAGACAGCACTTAATAAATGTTAGATGATGAATGGGTGGCTGGACAGGTGGTAGACAGGCAGTGGGTGGATGATGGATAGCTAAGCCTCAGTGGTCCCACACTGCTTGCCTTCACCATTTCCCCAGCAGTATCTTGCAGTTCTCTAGAACTGGACTACTGAGTACCAATAAACAAAAGCTCTGAGCCTTCCAAAAGTCTGAGCATGACTCCAGAACTTGCTGACCAGTCCAGCAGAAGGACAGAGACCCAAAGAAGTCCTTGGGTCAACCTCTGGAGCTGAAGGTATTTGGCTATCCGCAGGATTTAGAAGTCAAAGGTCCACCACTGGAATTTGTTTTATTTTTTTCATTGCAAATGACAGAAACACAAAGTGCTTCAACAAGAAAAACAAAATTACTTGGCTTAGTTGACCAAAAGATTCAGCAATGTGTGATCTCAGACCCCCAACCCCATCCCAAATACAGAATTCAAGATATGCCTTTAAATTTTTAAATTCTCTCTCTCCATCCCCGGATGATGTTTCCTCCCATTTGGTTTCATTTGTAGGCAGTAATCCACATGCTTAGAGTAGAAGCTGTAGAAGGAGTAATTCAACAAAGCTTTCCATTGACAAAGTACTGTTTAATTCTTGAAAGAATGATTGCTTAGGAAAAATAGGTTAAATTAATCCTGGGAGTTAACAAATGTCCTTATGGCTGAAATATTCTGAGTTGGTTCTTCCTGAGTTATTTGCAGCCAAAAGCATCCCAACTTATCCAACACATAACAAATAGTGTTAGTAGTAGAGTCGTATATCACATGGGCTTAGATCTCTACTCAGGAAATCAGTCATTCCTGTTATCAACAAGGAGCAGGATATTTTTTTCATCAACTATTAATCAGGAATCTAAACTGCACTGCAGTGTCGCAGGCGCAAGAGACACAAATCTGAATAAGACATCACCATGCAAAGAAAAACATTGATAAATTTGACCACCTTAAAAAAAAACTTACTAAAAAAACATAAGCAGAGACAAAAGTCAGAGTGAAATTCAAATCACCGACAAGACCAAGGGTCAATCCCAATATAAAAAGAGCTCTTAGAAACTAATAACAGTCCAACAACCAAATGAAAAATGGTCAGAGACTATCAACAAACATGTGATTTTTTAAAATCACAACGGGTTCTCAATCTTATAAGAAGATTAGTCTTACTCATAAGAGAAATGCAAATACATTGAGAACCATTTTCCCCCATCAGGTTGACAAAAATCTGGAAGTTTTAGGACTCACAGTTCTGGCGGAGCTGTGGGGCCCTTTGTGCATTGCTCTTGCAGGCTGAAATTGACACAGCTCCTAAGGAGAGAAGGTTGACACTATTTATCCAATATGTAAGTTTGACCCAGCAATCCCACTTCTGAGAATTTACTTATAGATATATGTATGTAGGTGTGTCTATAATTGCAGAGAATGAAAACAACCCAAATACTCATCTGTGGTAATGTGTTTACATGATGATATAGCCCTGCAATGGAATACTATACAGTCATAAAAAAGAACAAGATCCTTCCCTACGTATCAGTTTGGGAAGATCTAAACACATCACTAAGTAAAAAAGACTCAGATGCCAGAGCAGAATGACATGTGCACATGCCACCGAATATATGAAAATAGAGAAAAAAATAACTATTATCTTATTTGCAAAAACAAACTTTGGAAGGATGTGTAAGAAATTAAAGCAGTGACCTGTAGGGAGCTATCAGACAGGTTATCAAGTGGGAGATATTTATTTACATATAGATACCTTATTTACATGTTGAACTTGTGAATGGGTTACCATTAGAACATCTTAAAGATCAAATGTCAGTTCTGGGGACTTATCTCTCATAGCCTGTTGCCCTAGGGAGCTTGTTTCTAGCCACAGTTTCCCCCAAATGACAACAGTAGCCCTTTCCCCATGGCCCTCAAGGTGCTGGTGTGAAGACTGAAGAAACGTCTGTAAATCAAGCGACCCCTCCTGCCCCATCCCAGGAAGCCTCGCCTGCCCTGAGCCATCACAGGCAGTGGTGCTCCCAGGGCTCTGAGTCAGGGACACCCCAGAAAGCCCTGTCAAAGCAGCTTTCAGAGCAACTGTGCTACATCCATTCATCCATTCTCCCAGGGTGAGCCAGGTCTACCATTTACCAGGTGCTCTCCTCAACTTCTGAATACAGAGGCAGCCCAGACCTTCATGGAGCCAACTTTCCTGCAGAGGGACCCTGAAAGAAAGCCGGCAGCTGAACTGGGGGCTCGGGCTTTCCCCCTCACCTCCTCATCTTGCGGAGAGGGCCTGCCAGCCAGAAGCAGGAAACCTGTACACACCCCAGGTCCTTTACACACGCCGGGCACAAGCTTGCTTTTCTGCTTGAGCCTAAGTCCCCTTCCAAGAAGTGCCTTGAGGTCAGGAGAAGGGGCCGTATGACTCTCAGCAAGGAGAAGGTAGATCTTGGAAGCCTAAGTCAGCCAACTTCAAAAAAAAGAGCCCTGAGAACATCTTTGAAAGAGATCACGGTATCTGTCCGGTGAAATTTATTCAGAGTCCAAATAATGGCCCCTTTGCTGTCCAAGGGGTGAACATTCATTGAGGGTCTTTTCTGTTGGTTGAGATTTTGACTTTCAGAACACACAGCATGGCCTTGTTGTGTCAACAATGGAGGCTGCTGTCCTCCTCAGACCTCAGCTGAAGTCCAGAGAAAGCACAGGGCGATGCGGTGTGGAGTAACCGGAGCAATGTGCGGGCACCACGGACCACCTCCTCTAAGGAGGTGAACTCAGGTGACATCTGAGCTCAGACCCGGATGATGAGAAAAACCCAGAAAGCGTTCCAGGGAGACAGGAAGTACAGAGCTTCCAGGCAAACAAACCTTTCAAGCTGGAGGGCAAGAAAGGAACCAGGTGAGGAAAAAAAAAAAAAAGGAACCGGGTGTGGCTACAGGTGAGGCCAAAGGTCATGGGTCAAAGGGCAAGACCTGGCTAGATCTGACTGAATGCTTTTGGAGGTGATGTGGGATTTTACTGGAGTTTGTATTTTATTCTAAATCCAAGGAGAAGACTCCATAGAGCTTTAAGCAGGAGAGTGGCATGATCTGATTTACATTTTAAAAAATCACCCTAACTGCTGTGGGGAAAAATGGTCTGAAGGCAGAAGGATGGAGGCAGGGCGTCCAGTCAAAAATAACTGGTTATGGGAGTCCCCATGAACTGAACAGAGACTTTTAAATATTATTTTATAATCTACACACAGTTTCCTACATGAAACTCAAGTATGCATCTTGATGTATTTTTACATATGATTTGGGTAGCCAGCAGCCAGATCCAGATGGAAGACATTTCCAGGCCCATAAAAACTGTCTCCTGGCCCTTGCCAGCCTTTACCCCCATTCCGTCATGTTCCTGATTTCTGCCACCACAGTAGTTGGGCCTGATCATGGGTTCATATACACAGGCCCATACAGCATGTACTGTTCTCTATCTGGCTTCTTTCACTCATAAGGTTTTTGAGGCGGTCCCTGTTATGGCGTGGATGTGCAGCTCACTCTGGGTAGAGAATTTGAGTTAATTCTGGACCATTCTCCTTACACTGCTTTCAACCCCTGTTGATGCCAGCTCAGCGCCAGCAAACTGTGCTTGCCAGTGACCACCAGAGGGCAGTGCAACCCTGCAGCTGGCCTGAGCGCCGCGCAGGGGCCCCCTGAAGTGGGGCCTGGAACAAGGCAGGGTTGCCCTTGAAAGGATTTTGAAAGCGTCTTCTTCAGGCCATGCCCAGGCTTCAGGGATTGTCTCAATGAAATGGCAGCGCCGTTGACAACGTTCAGGCCCACGAGTTAATGACCAGCTGATCGGCCAAGGCCGCAGTGGGGATCCCAGCAAGGAGCAGTGTCTGTAGGAAGGCAAGGGGACGCTAAGGTGGCCCCAAGGGCGATCTGCAGCCACAGGTCTGGAGAGCACTGTCCTACACCTGCCCCGTCTTTAAAAGTTGGCTTCTCTAACTTTTAATAATGTGATTGCAATAATTAAAATTGTTTGGAGAAATGTTGGCATTTATTTTATAACCAGAAGTTCATTTGAAGTTAGTAACAAGCCAGGTCCGGCCAAATACTGATTTTTAAATTCAGCCATTAAGGATTTGGCCTCAAATGAGCATTTGGTCAACTCTGGCTATAGGTGAGGGGGCACCTCTTTTCATCTGCAGCCCCCACTGCGCAGGTAGTGGGGTAGCGGCCTTCGTCTCGGTCCTGCTGGCCACTTGGTGTGGTTGAATGACAAGCTGCTATGTCCCAGGTGCTGGGCTAAGCCTTTGACCTGCATTAGCTCATTCTGTCCTCACAGCCACCCAGGGTCCTGTCAGGAGAGGAGGGAGGGCACGGTAGTTAGGACACTGACACTGGGTTAAATCCCAGCTCTCCCTTTTATATCTGTGGGAACTGCACCTCCTGAACCCCAGTTTGCAGTTGAAAATGGGTGTGACAACAGCACTGACCTCACAGATTTGTTGACCACACCGAGTGCATTCAGATGGGAACAGCACTTAGAAGTGGCTTTCAAACTTTTTTGACTGCCCTCCACAAGAAACTCATACTACATTATGAGTATGTAGTATCCTGAGTATCCACCCAGGATAACATACATATATGTATGTGTACCTAAACATGAGTGTATGTGTTTTGTGAATGTAACTAAAATTATCTCACAAAGCAATGCCTACCCGTATCACTGTGCTGTATCCTGTGATCTTCCTCCCTACTCTGTTTTTAAATGATGCAGGTCACAATCTACAAACCAATTTCACTCATAACCCATTGTTTTGAAAATACTGGTTTAGAACAAGGTGTGGCAAAGAATAAGCTTGTCATCCAATTAACTGTGGTTTTCATAAACCCCACTTTACAGAGGGGGAAACTGAGGCCCAGAGAGGTGTGGCTTGCCCCTGACCTCACACCTGAAAAAAGGTGACAGAGCTTGCGTTTCCAACCCAGCGTCTTTGACTGCTAGATTACTGTTCTCCGGCCTGAGGCTGCAAACTGGTGGGTGGCTCACAGGCCAGATCTGGCCCACATGTAAGATTGATTGCCCTTCATGGTATGTTTTTAATCTTTGATCCAGTTACTTAAGACTTGGGAGATTTCATTTAAATTGTGACTTCTCTCTCCAAAAAAGTGAACAGTCTGTTGACACCGGGCCTGCATGTGCACATGACCAGCTGAGCCACACTGCAGCTGCCCCTTTTAGCTGCAGCAGGTACTCTCTAGGCTTACCCAATGGCCGCATTCCCCACCACACCCTGCTGTCTCCCTGCAACACTGAGGCCAAGCATCAGCTGTCATTCATCATCACACCTGCTGACTGTTTTTTCCAGAATGGAGAAGTATTTTTCTATCAAAAGTGGAAATGCAAAAACTAAACCAAGGGACCTTCATGTTTCAAGAAGAACATAGGTGCATGAATCGATTCTACCATGTTTCACATACAAAGAAGACATGTCTATGTCGATTCTACCCTCCCCCAGCCCCAGCCCCCCTGCCCCACCACCACCGATCTGCTTCTTTGGTTTCTAGTCTCTACCTGGGCCTGGGAGCCGAGCAGAGTTTACAGCTCCCGTCCTAAGCACTACCCTGTAGCTACCCTCTGTCCATAGCTGTGTCTGCAGCTCCTGAAACTGCCCAGCTGTGAATGGGAGCCTAATTAACAGTGACTACATGAGTGGCTTTTATACAATAGCTTCTCCAATAATGACTTCTAAAGATATCGTAATGGTTAAGAGCAGGCAGTTTTTTTGTGTCGTCAGACTGGGTTCAAGTCCAGCTTCTGCCACTAACTAGCTGTGTAAGCTCAGGCAGCTTCCTCCACCTCTCTGGGCCTGATGTCCTCAGCTGCCAAATGCAGGTTATTAGGATGCAGTGTTGCCTGGAATGAAGAAGATGCTTGTACATGGAGTTCCTTCTCCTTCAGTTCATTAAGGTGAATCAAGGTCAGTACTCAACTGCCTTAACAAGCTGGCTAGTGCCCAGCTGGCCTGACCTCGGACTATCCTCTGGGCCAGGGGGACAGAGGTATCCCATTAATACCATGCCCTGAGAATAGAGCCCTGGGCAGGTAGAGCTGTGGGCCAGATGGCAAAGCCAAGGGTTTGATCGCTGGCCACAGCGCTGGGTGAGAACTGCCTGGTCCAACACGCAGCCGTCCTTCCTCCCCTCCTCCCTCCTGCTGCTGCTGTGCCCTCCTGAACGCAAGGGGCTGGAAAGCTGCGAACTGTTCCCTCGGCTCCTTACAGCCAAGGGTCTGGAGCATTTCAGGACCCACCAGTCCGCTGTGTTCCACAAGGGACCTACACTGGGTACGGAATTAAATGGGGAGAAAGGTGGCTGTCCTATGTGAGAAACCAAGGCACGTTCTGCCACCAAGCGTCCAGGGGTCAGTTCAGGTGCTGATGTCCTGAGGCCAGACCTGCACAGAGGCAGTGAGGACAAGCACACTCTGTGGCTGTCACCCTATCTAACTGGGACGACCGAGAGAAGAGGCTACTGCTTCCCTTCCACCTTCAAAATCTCACACAAGTTCCTCTTTTGGTCAATTCTACCTCAGAAATACTCAAGGAAAGGGATTCTGAGAAATGTAGTTCCGGCCTCACCAAGTTAACACGACAGACTGTAGACAGGTTTGCTCACTACAGCTTTCCACTTTAACTGGCCAAGTGAACTCTGCTCTTGACAGCTGACCTGACTGACGGACTTTGGAGTTCTACAGTGTATGCTGTCAACATTTTCATTAACCAAGGTCTTTTGGGGTTGGACAATTCCTACCTTGGGACCTGGCACCAGAAGCAGCTGCATCTCAAGTTCCCAGCCTCCCTTGCAGTTAGAATGCAAGCATGTGAACTGGGCTCAATCAGTGAGATATACTCAGATGGGACCCAGACTCAGCCAATCAAATACATCCAAATGGTAGTTAGACTTAGTCAAATACACCCACGCGGAACCTAGGCTTAGCCAATCTAGATACACCCACATGTGAAAGCAATGGAAGTGGATTGTGACACATGGGATCCAATCTAGCGAGGAGGCCAAAAGGGCATGCCCATTGTCACTAGTGAGAGTTGCAGTGTCTGGGCCCAGTGGCAGTGACACAAAGGTCCTGCAATGGAATCTGGACATCGTTCGTGGCTGTGTGGTCTCCAAGCCAGTCTCTCTGGCCTCCCTCCCAGAGATCTGGGAGCCTCTTAATATCCTTTCATTTCTTCCCTGCTCCAATTTACCTAGAGTGGATTCTCTTGTTTGCAACTAAAAACCCGACTTCCTCTAAATTCATTTAGCCCCCATGTCTCAATTTCCCAAAAGCAGAACAATACCCACCCCCACCCCCACCCGGGGCAGTTGAGAAGAGTCAGGGAAGGGCCGCCCAGAGGCTTTGCGAAAACCTAGGTCGGTGCCGCACACACAGACCATGTCGTCTGATGGGCCACTGCCCTGGCTTGGTGTCAGGCAGTCGGCTTTGAATCCTGGCTTTGGCACTGACCTGTCGTGTGACCTTAGGCAAGTCACTTTCCCCATCTGGAGAATGGGACTATGATTAGTGCCTGCCTGTGGCATCATTGTGACCACTGAAAGATGGCTGCAGGGAAATCCCTCAGCACAGAAGGAATATGGGTGGCCTTTGTTTCTCTGGATTAAAGAAAATAAATAATAACATACACTGTGTCCTGATGCACCCAAAGAGGGTCTGTGAAATGCTGATGTTTCGAAAACATATTCAAAACACAACTCTGATTAATGCCACTGAATTACACACTTGAAATGGTTAAAAGGGCAAATTTGATGTTATATATTTTTTACCACAATGTTTTAAAATGAATGTAATACACCTAAGATTATTGAATTATACACTTTTAAATGGGTGGATTGTACGGTATGTGATTGTGTCTCAATAAAGCTGTTTAAAAAAAAACCCAACCTCCCCGGCTTCCCATCTCCACGGGAGCACAAGGCAACTGACCTCTCGGCCCCTCAGAGCTCATCAGCCCAGCACCTCCCCGCCCACCTCCTCCCACGCCGGCCTCCTGACCTGCTCAGGCCTTTTACATCTGCTGTTCCTTCTCCCTAGGATGTTCTTGTAGCCAGCTGAGTGGCTCTCAGCTCGGGCTGCCCACTAGGATCCACTGGGAACTTTAAAAAGTACGGCTGCCCGAAGTCCCCCTCAGAGAGGTGGGTGTCATTCGGAGAAGATGGTAGGGTCGGGGCACTCCTGGTTTTGTTGTTTTAAGTCTTCCGGTGCTCCCAGCGGTCAGCCCTCATTGAATAGCTGCTGCCCGTTGTCATAGCTCAGTCCCCACCTCCTTCAGGTTTCTGCTCCAACACCAGCTCCTTGGAGAGGCCAGCCCGTCATATACCATCAGCTTCCTCTCGGTTCCCTGCTTATGTACCTCCACGTTGGTCCCACCTAGGGTTGTATTATACAGATTTTAAACTGCTTCCCGATGGGAATTTCAGATGACAGAGGCCGCACCTCTCTGTTAGTGTTGTGTCCCAGTGCGTAGCCCACACACAGTGCTCTGTAAGCAGCAGCCGCCTGAACAGACTTTGGCCCACCTTCTCTCCGGCCGCCTGGTCCTGCTCCAGCTCCGGGGGCTGCAGTTCTGCAAGGGGGCCACCAGGTGGCGAGTGCCCGATTCCCTTACAGGCCACCCCAGACCAGACCCACACCGACTGTGAAGGAGCTACGGCATGGCGGACCCCGTGGTGTCCTCTCCCTTCTCATCCACAGATTCAAAGTCACTGGGCATCTGAAAACACTCGACCCTGGCTAAAGTCAGGGGGAGAAGGCCCTGCAGCCCTGTTTGGAGCCTCAAGTCCTCTTTGGCCATTTGGGGACCCCACACACAGCTCCTGACTTGCACATGAGCACACCGCTGGTCTGTTTTGCGAGGCCTCAGTTGGGAGACAATTTGAGGATCCATCCACTGGGGGGTGACGTGTCTTCTTCCAGGTAACAGGATCTCACACCTCCAAACGGGAAGGCAGCGGGTGACTTGTACCGGTATGCGGTACGCAACAACGCCGCAGACTTCAGGTCACGTGGAAAGGGGGACAGGGCAGAGGGGTGGGTATCCGACGCAGAAGGGGGTAAGCCAACTCCCTCTGCAGGTTCATAACTGCACAGGCTCTGACACTTAGCAGTCTGACCTGAGGGGACCAGGTGGCTGGGAGGGGCTTCACACTGGGGCCCTCTCCTTCCCTTTTCAAATCTGAGGCACGTGACTGGATTACTTAGTCAAAGAGAGAGAGTAAAATCCAGCATTTTTTTAAGAGCATCTATTTCTCTACTGCTGAGAAAGCCTCTTCTCTTCAGTGACCTTGTCTGGGAGACCACAGCTCAGACCAGCAAGGCCGGGGGTCGGGCGGGGTGCCAGGGACACCTCGCAGGGGGACGGCTGAGGCCGCCCCTGCTGGCACGTTGCCCCACCACTTAGGAGCTGTGTGACCTTCACCGTCAACTCTTCCAAGCCTGTCCCCTCACACAGCTCACATTCGAGTGGGACACACACACAGGATAAAGTCATAAATATGTATGACTTTTGCTCAAGGACATGAAAACTAGAGGGAGGCTGAGAAAGAGGATGGGGGAAGGGTGGCTACTGCAGAGGTGACATCTGAAGGGGAGCCTGAAGTGCCAGCCACAGCAGGGCGTGCCAGCACCGTCAGGGGCCGGGATGAGGAGGCTGGCACATGGGGGCTGCCAGCCAGCCACCAGGCAGACGGTGCTTTCCCTGCAGAGTTGGCCTCTCCCCCTAGAACGGCGCTGGATCCAAGGAGAAGACAGGGAAGGGGCACACGCATGCCCAACATAAGGAAGCTAAAAAAATTTTAACAAAAAATGACAATGCCCCATCAATTGGAAAAAGTACGTCAATACAACAGAAGTCTAATTAGAATCTTTCACTAGCTCCGTGGCCTTGAGCTTGTCACTTCTTTAGGGCCCATTTCTACAGCAGCCACTGGGAGGTCACACTGGGGTGGTCAATAGCCCTTTCTGGGTCGGCTCATACCTGAGGATCGAGGGGACTATCACATCCCACCCTGTGAACGCCAAAGACCATGGGCCCTGGAACACCCTGTGCCCTCTCCACCTCACTCCCTCCTCTTAGCTAAGTGAAGCATGTCAAACTCAGTCGCCCAGGGCCTTTGCACCTGCTGGCCCCTCTGTATGGGACACCCACCCACTTACCTTCCCACAACCAGCTCTTCACTCAGGTCTCAGGTCAAATGTCCCCTACTGAGAGAAGCCCCTGCATGGGCCCCGTTAGAACTGCCACCTTCACCCCTTGGTCCTGCTCTCAACCATCCCTGTTTTGTTCCTTTCACAACACTGGTCAGCATGGCCGGCAGCCATTCCCTGCCTTTTGTATTAACTCGCGAACTGAGACAATGTTTGTTTTTAAGTGGCTAAAAAATTATTTTGTGATACATGAAAATTAAGTGACGAGGTGTGCCTGGGCAGGGCTGATGTCACGTGCTGCCCATGCCAGTCCTGTTAGCTCAGGCTTCCATCCTGGCCGCAGAGACACAACTCACTCCCTCCCACTGACCCAGGATCTCCCTCCTGTTCTTTTCTCTGTCATAAAGTTCCAAGGAACTGCACCTCCCAGGAAAGTGCCTACCGGGGCCCTTATTTACACAGTGCCCACCACCGTGGGATGTTCTAAGCTTTTCCGGGCCAGTCTCCTGGGTTTGGTCGTGCCCACCTGACAGAGCCACCCTGACCAAATGGAAAACTCCACATTCGAGGACGACCAAGCCATTTTGCCAAAACAGTTTAATTAAAAAAAAGATGAAGGATCTGAAAAAATGGGGGGGTGGAGAGGGAGGGAACCCAAAGAGCATACTGTGAGTCTACTGGCTCAGTCACAAAGAAACACCATCATCAAAAAAGATATTTAAGTTTAATACAAATTTTATACAAAGAAAATGTGAAAAAATACTTCCATATGCTAAAAGCAATTATGCTTCACAAATAAGGCCAGCTAGGCTATTTTTTTTTTTGACAACTGCAATTTTCACAAATGTTCTTCCTCTCCTGTTTTCTTCTAATACCCTCTCTATTTCTTCTCTAATATGGGTAACTAGCTGGAAACTGTACAGTTCGCATTCTCTTATCAACAATGAAGAGAAAGTAAACAAGACTAAAATGTACAACAGAATGTACTGGAATGGTATCGTACAGTTAATTTTCTCATATACATACATCACCTTTTGCTTCATTCAATGCTTTTTGTTTTACACAACATACAAAGTGGTACTACAGCATATGTAGTGTGACAGACAGCACGGCGGCTGTCTTTTCTCTCATACTGCCTTTGTTTCATGCTTACATAAAAACGTAAAATTCCATCATATAAATAATACATACATGCTTCATCCCAGACTCCAGTGTCCTCTGCGTGCATCCTGCCTCCACGAAGCACAGTATCGATTACCAAGTATGTGTGAGTGTGTTTAAAGGAACCACAAAGCAAAGCAAAGGCTTCTCTCTCTGTTGCAGAGCTTCTGACCGACGCTCTCTGGGTTCTTCTCTTCTGCAACTCAGCTGAGCGGAGCTTCAGTTTATCTTCTGTAAACAAGGACCTTATTTTTTTTCCCTTTTAGGAGTAGAGTCATCTTTGAAATCCCACAAAATAAACTAGCTTCTCCATGTGTCCTTCTGATCCAGAGAACTTACATTTATTAACAGAGTAACGTAGCATTTGAAAGGGGCCACTGACTTGACGTGATGTGCCCACGACAGCACAGGCTCTGTGCCGAAACTCCTGAACCTAATGTACGGAGTACAGACATATGAATGCAAACGGCTCACTCTCCCCTGGGCATTCAAGGACGAGGGCCTGGGTGCAACAGCATCGCTGGGCCCAGTCCCCACGCCACGGTGTGACATGTGGGCTGCCTGACCGTCCCTCCTCCAACACCAAAATGTTTCTGGTTGGGTTTTGTTTTTCTTTTTCTTTTTCTTTTTTTTTTTATAAGTTAAAGTCAATACAAATATAAAAAGGGGAAGGTACTCTAGGTTCAATGACATCCACAAATTGTACATTATTTACATCTAAAGCATAGATTTCATGTAGGTGGAAGAATCCTCAGTCAAAGCTAATGCTGGACACTATGTAGTGTGGGCTGCTCCTGGCGCCAGGGGCAAAGGCCAAGTCCGAAGGTGTGGAGTTCTCAAGTCTGCAGGTGGTGGTTCTCCCATCTCATGTTTCTTTGCTGTTTCCTGTTTTCTTGGTGTCTGGTTTTTTTTTCCTCCATGGGGTGGGAGGCTTATGTCGCCATTTGTCCCTAGTCCCAGAAGGTGTCCAGCCGAGACTCTTTCGGGATGAGACTCTTCGAGCTGGTGCTGCCGTTGTGCTCAGAACGTGCAGATCCTCGCTTCTCGTCGCTACTCCAGCTGCTGGATTTACTGCTCCGGGAATGGTCTGGGGAGGAAAACCAACAGAAAGGGATGATGAGAATTCCTGCCAGCCTCCCCTGCAGCAGAACCATCCTCACTTGATCCGCACCTTCTACCTGGGAAGCCACCTTCCCCTCCCCGCTCCAGACCACTGCTGGGCAACATACTGCCCCCGCTGACTTCCCCAAATGCGTGCGACTTGTCGAATACAAAGGGCAGAACAATTTACTTTTTTAGGGTAACAACAGCTGAATGGAAAAACAGTGGGGTGTCATGCTCACAGAGAATACAGACGCGTGAGAAAGGTACTTAACGGCCAGGGCAAGCATTTCTTACGAGGTACCTGGAACTGTGTACCCTCACTACATGACCAAACGACACCGAGCACCCACACACTTCCACGTCCAACCTTGGCCACTGGAAAAAGGCACCAAAATTTGGCATTCAATCTACTTCCTTATATTAACAGAGTTTCTTTAATCCATTTACAGACAACTTGAAAAACAGACCTATCACAAAACCATCTGAGAGCGAATCACCAAGGAGAAGTAAGGGCAGGAATAGTTAAGTCCATCTGAGAACACAGCCCCCGGGGTCCCTGGTAAGGAGGGGGGTCACTGAAGGATGCAGGGCCAGAGTAAGACCTGAGATGGCTTCAAAGATGCGTGAACCACAAGGAGCTGGAGAGTGGCCGAGCAGGAATGACAAGTGGAAGGGAGAGCCAGAGATGTCTGCAGACCTGTCAGAGAGCTCGGGCCTGCGGGCTCAGCCGGACCCTTGTCTGCAAGAGACCCAGCAGCTCACCACCAAGACCCCGCCGCACCTTAGAGCACTTACTGAGTGGGACAGATGGGACAAAGCTTTCTCATTTCTACTTGATTAAAAGAAACTGACTGTTAAGCTTAGAGACAGAATCCAAGTGAGGAAGGACCGTGTCACTGTCTAGGGGGATGACACTTCTTATCGGCACGCGCACGTGTTTAGTCCTGGATTCTGTTTTCAGAAGGTAAAAGAGAAGAGGACCATGAAGATGTCCAAGGTAATGTGTTCCCTCAGGAGAAAACTCTTCTTCGGGCTGCACCAGTGACCCAAGGGAGGTAGTGTTCTGGCAGGCAGAGCTGGCTGGGGTGTAGACAAAAGTCTTCTTAGCAATCCTGAAAGCACCTCTTACGCATTCTTCCCTATTTGTGATGCCTACACGGTTGGTTTTTCCGAAGGTCTCTGGTGAGAGGTGTATGAAGCTATCTTTTTCACATTGAGAAAATCCTCCAACAATGTAGTCAACCACATTAAGCCCCCCAACTCTGGAATAGCAACCAGCTGGGTACATTGGGAGGCATGGGAAGAGAGCTGAGCTGGGGCACAGAATCTGCAGCAGAGCCAGGCTGGCCGACCAAGTGGATCTGCAGGACCTACCTCCCCTCACACGGATGGGACATGGGGCACTGGCTGCTACAGCCAATCACAGCAGGGGAGGGTCAGGGTCCACCTAGGGCCCTCTGCTATGCGGGAGGAAGAGCCCCTCCCCTCAAGGAGTCAAACCCACCCCCTCTCGTGCCCTCACTTCCCACTGCAGCTTTTGATGGCCACCAGAGGCACAGCTAAGAAATGCTACAAGGCAAAGCAAGAGCCACTATTCAGAAGATTAGGAGACATGCCCACAGGGAAATACACACACGCACACAAGAACAGGCCTTCTGCAGGCCTGGAATAATATGCTGGCAGCTTCCGCGGGACAGGGTCATACTAACACTTCTGGGCTGGGTGGCTGGGGTGTGGCCGGTGGCCTGTGGCAGGTGTTGCTAACTGAAGAGACAGCACAGGCACCTCAGAGTCTGTCGGCTCCAATCTGAACAAATCCATGCCCCTGTGTTTGCTCGTCAATAGGCTACCCTTCTCAGACCTGCTGGGGGCTTCGTTTATGTCACCATCCTGCAACTTAATGCATCCCCAGGAGAGTAAGGCTTTTATAAAAAGGGATCCCTGGACAAAGCATGGCATTAAGGGTGGGAAATGATGTATATGATGACATAAAGCTTTTGTGTAAGCCACAAATTCTCAGCATTTGAAAGCACAATTCTCAGAACCAGGAAGACAGAGGCTATTCAACCACACAAGGCACTGCGCAAGGAATCCAGATTATTTAGAGCAAATAATAACTAATCTACGGCCACGGTGAGAGTAATTTGGTGGAGAGTATAATTAAGGTGCATGAGGTGAGGACTGGGGAAGGGGCCACAGACAAGACACCAAGTGGGCGTCCCCCTCAGCTACAATGGTTGGACAGCAACACATCGTATCTGAAACAGAAGAGCTAAAAACTAGTGGTATGGAAGGAGTCTCCACATAATAACTGATGCACGGAAGAGTTTGGTAGGGGAAGGACTGAAGACAAGATAAAGGGGAAAAAAATCGAAACTCCAGGAAAAAGTAAAGCTATACAAGAACAGGAACGTAATCACAGTACACCGTTGGACTCATAACAAATGGCACAGTGTCCTAAGGATAGAGAGACAGATGACGGCATGTCAAAATTTCTTGGACTCGGCTGACAGCCGAAAGCGAGATGGCCCAGCTGCATTTACAGAGCAGCGTGCACAAATGACCTCAAGCCTGATGACGGGGTGGGCCTCATGGAGGAGGTGGGAAGGTGGGAAGGGCCAGAGGTCGGAGAGAAGCCGAGGGCATGGGCTGCCAAGAGGGGTCAAGAGACTGCCTCTAGGTGACAGAACAAGAACTAGAGAGTGCGCGATTTATCTGGCCATGGAAAGCCACACAGGCCCGTGAAATCGTGACATAAGCAGTTTGGGGGAGTGGGAGAAGAGAGGTCACCCATCACCCCAATTCAGATGCGCCAACCAGCAATGTCTAAAGATGAAGTCCAGAAACAGAAGCCGAGGGAAGTACACTACTTGTTGGTACAGAGCAAAGAACCAGACACATGGAAGGCAGCAGTGGAGGCTGCGACTGTTTTTCCAGGTACAACTTCACTTTCTCTAACTATATGCAGGTATTGCTTTAAAATTTTAAAATGAAAACACAGCAAGCAGGAGAGGCCCAGGCCACACCCAGGAAGCCCATGACCCCTACTCCTTCCTCCTTACAATTAGACTCTGCGTCTTACCACTCCGTGCCTGCTGTATACTGGCACCCCAGAAACCCCACTGTTTTTTAAAAACCCACCTTCCTCCACAAGATTTCATCAGTACTGTGACCAACAGCAAGAGCTGGCGGAAGTCAGGTTAGAAAGACAGTTCCACACGGGATTGAACGCGTGTCAGTCTTTCTGCTTTGACAAGACCATGGGCACAAATGGCTTTGGTGAGAAAATGGGGGCAAATCAGAGACTGGAGATGGCCTTCCGCCCAGGCCTCAAGGGACCTCCCACTCATCTCCCCCTCCCGCTCTCTGGGGTGTCCCTGCCACACTGCCCCAAAACACTCTTTTCCAGCGGTTTCTGACAGGGAGCTCCACGGTGCCCCTACTTTGCTCATGCACCTCCATCAGGCCTCTTCCCAAGTCCTAAATGTGGACACCTCCTTTCACGTGGTCCCTGGTCCCCTTCTTTTTCTACCCAAGACCTTCGAGAAGGCCCCTTCAGATGTGGAAATTCCATGATTCTACCAATGAAGGCGGTCTTCTTTGCGAGACAAGTTTCCAAAACAGCCTTCAAGAATTTTAAATGTCCATGATCCTTCGTGACTGACGGCTCCACGCTGACTGTGCTGAGGCGTCAAGGTTGCGGTGAAGAAATTGGAAACCACTGCGTGAGCAGAGGAGCATATGAGAAGTGGAAAACCAGGGCCGGCCTGGAATGAATGGTCACTCTTAAAGACACCCACCTGGCTTGAGGAAGGTTTCAGGTTGTGCTGTTCAGTACAGTAGGCACTAGCCCTGTGTCGCTATTTAAATATAAATAAAGCTAAAACAAAATGTTAGCTTCGATTCCTCAGCCACACCAGCCTCAGTTCAGGGTCCACAACCACGTGTGCCAGTGGCTCCCACAGTGGACAGTGCGGATATAGAATGCTGCATCGCGCAGAATGTTCTAGGGGGAGATGCAGGGTGTCAAGGAAGGAGTGTGGAGATAGAGGAGGATGTTTACATGCCAAGGGAGGGAAGCGGCTGAGAGCACAAAGGCTTGCATGCCTAGGGGAGGCGAGGGGGACAGGACCCGGCCAATGCGCCTCTGACAGCACAGGCGATGCTGTGAGCTCACAGGGGCGATGGAGGGAGAGCTGGGAGGTCAGCCACCGAGCAGGGAGCTTGGAAATCACCCTATGGCGAGTGGAAACAGAGGCTGCCGAAAGCCATCTGGTACGATGACCGGGCTGGTGAGGGCCTCTGCTTCTGAGGTTAGTGATTAAGACTTTTGTGCACTGGTGAAACGAGTGTAACCTCTTGTGTCATTTTCTCCAGCTGAGCTGATGCTTGACTGCAGGTGAGTAAAAAGTGGGGTTCATCCAAGGTCTTGCCAAATCGACATGTTGAAAAAAAAGGCATGGGAGACTGAGTTATGTCAGCAAGGGTGCTGATGGCACGAGCCACAGGAACTAGGCTGGGGAAGGAGGGAGGGGAGTGGAAACAGGCGAGCTTGCAGGTCTGGAGGGAAGAAAAGGTCCACACTGGCAGCCCTGACTTTCTGCGGTGACCGGGGCCTTAGCTGGGCCACACAAAGCGGCCAGCACTCAACCAGTTCTGACTTACGGTTTCATGCAGTGAACCTAAGTATTCGGCACAGTGGCTGAGGGCATGGGCCTGCAGTCAGAGACCTGGACTGAGGCCCTGGCTCCGACAACTCCTCTCTGAGTTAACTGGGCCTCAACTACTCATCTGTATAATGGAAAGAGTAACTCTTCTCTCAGAGGTGCTGGGAATAAACGCAGTAAAGGCAAGTGAGTACCGCACACTCCTTAGTCAGCCCTAGTAAGTGCCCTTCTGACTCCCCTGGAGGCTCCATGAAGACAGGATCTTGAGCCTTGTTCACCTCTAAACCCCCAGGTCCTGGCACTCAGCAAACTCTTGTGCACCTCCAGCCCTCTGCAAAAAGCCCAGGGCCGTGCACCCTCTGAGAATCTAAAGCAGAACTGAGGATCTTGCCCCCCACACCCATCCGGTCACCAGACTCCTCCGGACCATTTACCCCTCCCCCACTCACCTCGCACCAAGTCACTGGCCTGCTCTCTGCAATTTGATTCTTTCCAACCCCCTTGGGCACCCGTGTTTTTCAGGTCAGGGGGCAGCCAAAGAAGGCCTCCTGGCCAAATCCAGCCCAATGCCTGTTTCCTCAAATACATTTCACTGGAGCACAGGCAGACTTGTTTATTTATATATGACCTGTGTTTGCTTTCATCCTTTACCAGCAGAGTTACGCAGTTGCAACAGAGACCGTGTGGCCCACAAAGCTTAAGAGATTTACCATCTGGCCCTTTACAGAAGGTTTGCTGATCCCTGAGCTAAGTGATACCTCATTCACCTCAGAACTGGAATACGACGCCATCTCCCAGCCACCTTCCCGCACGCAGTCCATACAGCATCCCACACCCTGCAACTGCCCACCTTCCCGGGGCCATGCTGACCCCACCCCACCACTCTGCGGCTCCCAAACCTTAACGGCACCTCCATCCGAAGCAGCATTTCCCCCACTTGGGCTCTTCTTAAACCTTTGCGATTCTGACCCATCCACAATCTCCCTAATGTATTTCTGATGTTTTTATTTAAGCTCACTTTAAGCGTAAACAGAACAGAAACTTTTATATCACCCCCAAAAGCACAAGGTAACCCTTTCTCTACACACAGGGAGACTCTACCACCAGACAGAATGGACACCAGACCAGACTGCAGGGTTAAGTTCCAGGCAGGTGCCATGCTGCTGAAAGCCTCAAATCTGCTCTGCCTTTGTTAAAAAGAGAAACTGGGGAATACCAAACGGCTGCAGAAGGCACCTAAGTACCAAACCGAACTTGTTCTCGGGAGGTGGAAGCAGAGGGCTGAAGGGAAGTAAGAAAGGAGCGACCTTTTCAGTAAGTGGTTCACCTTCTCTCTACAGTCAGTAAATGCCACTCCCTCTTACCTACGCCTCAGTCTGAATCTCTCTCCAGCCACCCTAAGGACACCCCATTTTCCTCTATGCACTTCATACGCAGAAACGAAATAAAATTTTCGGTTTTCAGCTAAAGAACCATCCGGCACAGAGAAAAGATCCGGGAGCTCAGGGACCCTAATTAAGCAGAATGGTCCTCAAATAAGGACACCTTCTTTGAACCCTTCAGGAATGACCCAAAACTGGCTTAGGAGGGTACCGGAAAAAGACCCTTTGGACTAGAAAGGAGGACAGCTCACACCCCACAAGAGAAAAACTGAAGGTGACTCTCTGAAAATCCCCCAAAACAGCCTACCAGGTTATTCCCTGAGAGCAAAGATTCTTACAGAAAGATCACCTGCCTAGAAATTTTCTTCTTTTCTTTCAAGGCTCAAATGCAGGCTGGGACCCAACAAATAGAGTTTCCTGGGTTTCATGTGCCGTGGTCATTTCTCTGAGGGCACAAGAACTGCCCGTGCATATCTGGCCCACCCCAGGTCACCTACAGGACCCTTGGTCCAAATCAAGGTTTATGTGGAACCCTAATAAACAAAGCAAACATAGGTAAATGCGGACTTGGAGAGGTGCCTGTAGGCTGCCTTACCCAGCCACTCCCTCTCACCCCGCAGTGACCCGCCCAGGGTACCCCCAAGGATCCCTAAGGATCCACAGAAGTTTGAAAACCATAAACCCTTAAGGTTCCTGAGAAAATGGCTTCCCGCTGCCCACATGGACTGTGATAGCACCATTCAACCACCAGGGGGCAACATACCCGAGCCTTGGTTGGAGCCTAAGAGAATGGAGGAGGGCGTCTCCCTGGAGCCAGAAAGGTCGAGGGTCTAGAAATACAAAAAGAGAGAGATGGATGCAAGGCACTGGGGCCAATGTAGCCCCCCAGAGAAGCCCAGAGATCCATGGGGATGCTCATCACTGCCCTCAAGGCGCCTCCGTGCCCTCTGTCTCGTGCACTCAGCCAGGGAAGGCCAGGTCGGCCGGGGTGACCCTACACCTGTCCTCTCCTGCGCTCTGGCTCCCAGAAGGAACAGGCTCGAACACAGCACTGGGGTGGTCCCGTACTGAACGCTACAGCCTCAGCTTCTAGAATATTCACTGCTTCCTCAACTTACAGCACTGACCTACCTTCCCCTCCAGATTTTGCCACATCCAAAAAGGAAGTATATTACATCAAAATTAGATCATTTCACTTTTATTCCACATTAACCTTTCTCTAGGCAATAGCATCAATAAAATCAAAGGGTTTTGACTGATGGGACAATGACTTTATTTTTTCCCTACTACACACTGAAATAAATACATATTAACAAAAATGTAAAAAATTATCAACACTGCCACCTAAAATAAGTTTTGCACACAATCCTTGTTACACAGACCAAGACACTGGGCAACCAGGAGACCCAGCCTTCCCTGTACAATACGGCAGCCACAAGCCACATGTGACTACTTGAGTTTAAATTAATTAACATTAAATAAAAGTAGAACTGCAGGTCCCTCTGGTCACATTACCCACAGTTTAAGTGCTCAACAGCCATATATGGCCAGTGGCTACCATCATAGGTAGAGCAGATACAGAACCAGATACAGAACATTTCCATCACCACAGAAGCTTCTACCAGACAACACTCTTTTAAGCCTCAAGAGTTCCCAAGGAGCAGCTGCCGAGCCACACACATGCCACGCCCGCTGGTGATCAGGAGCCCTAAGAGTCTGTCACCCTCACTGCAGTCCACCTGCCCCATCCTGAAGACACGCAAACCTCCTACAACATGAGACTTACAGGGGTGGCAGGAATGGCTGGGGAAGGTCCTGAGACTCTGCTCAGCCGAAAGGCAACACTGGCCAAAGGCGAACGGATACTCACGGAGCCACTGTCCTTGCTTTTCTCGGCTGTCGTCTCCTTCTCTTTCGAGGCGCTGGCTGTTTCCGAAGAGGCTGGCTGTGTGCTGGAGGAGCTCCCCTGGGATGACTTGTTTAGTGTTTCCGAGCTCACCTCGCTGTCTGCTTCCTGCTGAGGCGCAGTAGCTGGGGGCAGGCAATGGGGGAAAGCAGCCTTGTAGAGTACAAGCCGAGTGCAACGGCTTCGGGACCTGCAGGGGAGCCCCACTCCGCACGAGGCGGTGTGCCGGCTCAGGACACCTCTGACCCAGCCACCATCTGTAACAGGCAGCTGCTGCTCAGGTACACCCAGGGCACAGGTACAGGCCCAAAGTGGCCAGTACTCCGAAGTTTTCCAGAAGCTGGAATTCCAGAGTGTGGGTGAAAATACGTTCACTTTTAATGATTAGCAGTTCCAGTTTTAATAAATCATTCTGGAGACAAAAGCATGTTCACGGAACAAGAAGCCCATCAGCAGAGCCAGCATATAACTGCCGACCTAGAATTACTCATTTTATCATTTTTCATTTTAGAACCATTTCAGCCCCACGGACTTGCTTCCTTCTGAAGAAGAGCAGGGAAATCCATGTGAAAAGCAAGCACCACAGACAATGAGCATCTGGAGATGACAGAAACTTGGATAAATTCAGAAACAAGGCTTTTGAGAGAAATTTCAGAAGGACGGACAATTTGGTGCCACAAAGACAGGAAAGCAGAGGGACATTTTGGCCACCTTGCAGTAACAGCAAAAGGGTCATCAGACACATTTCAAAACTTAGGGGAATTTAACTCTACCGCAGGAAGGGATTTAAAGGAGCTTTTAAGAAGATAACCTCCCTCAAGAAGGTTGAAGGACCCAGTCATGCGTGTTCACTATTGCCTTTTTAAAACTAAAATAACAAAAAGAGCTCCTAAAGCAGAAGTTGGCAAACTAGTGCTGCCCTTTTTTTTGACACTTCCCTGTGCCTTTATTGTCTTGTAAATGAATGTTCAAGTATACCACAGGTTCATCTGAGTAACACAGCAAGGGTTGGTTATAATAAATAGATGACCATCAAATGGCATGTAAAGAAATGTGAATATTCCTAGACTCCCAGACCTGCTTGGCCAAGGGAGAGACAGTCAGAGGCATGGCTAATAGGAATGGTTTTGTCAGGGGCTCTATTTAGAAGTATGTCTGCAACGTAAAGCCCGAGGGCTCCTCCCTTTCCCTTGACCATTTCTGTGCTGCTGCCCGTGCGTGGCTACTGCTTCCATCTGTTGCTGCCAGTGCTCTTGTAGTGCCGCCTATTTTTGTAAATGAAGTTTTATTGAACAGAGCCATTTACATATTGTACGGCTACTGTCAGCCTCCCAGGAGTCTAGCAGTTTTGACAGACCACATGGCCCAAAATCCTCTGGACCTTCACAGAGGAAGTCTTAGTCACTCATACATTGTCTTCGGAAATTCTGCCGATCCACAGACACACTACCTCATCCTAGTATTTATGTAGTTTCTATTCAAGTAAGTTCTTTAAGATGAGGACTTTCAATTTTAACCATCTAAAGTTAATATTATTTGTGATAAATGAAAGTGAATTATAAAAGTGAACTTAGAAAGTATTAATAATTCTAAATTAGACAGTGTGTCCTGAGGGAAGCTTCCAGTGTGAGGCGTACTTGCTCTGTGTTAGAGGGTACAAAGATTAGTCCCAAACCAGTAATTTTTCTTTCACATAAGGATTGAGAATCCATTTAAGTAAGCCATGAGTCCAGTATTACCTAAAAAGCAGGATTTCTCAGCTTCAGTACTGTCGACATTTGGGGCCAGATCATTCTCTCTGTGGGGCCATCCTGCACACTGCAGGGTGCTTGGCAGCAGCCCCCCCTCTGCCCTCTGGTGCCAGAGCTCCCCTCCTCCAGATGTGACAATCGCAAATGTCTGCAGTCACCACCAATGTCTTGGGGTGGCAGGGGGATCGCCCCCTAGAGGGGAACCACAGCAACTCCCAGGAAGCTGAGATCTCCTGGGCTGTCGTGACAAGCCATGCTCTGGCAGAGAACGCAAAGGAGACCAGAGGTTTGAAACGCCCATGCCAAGTCGCAGCCATGTGGCTACATGGGGCTCTCTGATGTGCAAGAGACACAGCTGTTTGTGCGTGAGATGGGCAATGGCCTGGCTGGGCAGGCCACCCTTGGGGAGCCCCCTCTGCGGCCCACGCCCACCCACGGCAGCCTGGGCCCGCGGTACCTGACTGAGTGCAGGACTTCATGTGCTCAGGCCAGTGGGCCTGCTGGCAGGGGTAGTCACAATAGCTGGTGTTCCAGCAGCAGTAGAAAATGGCCTCCTTCTTGCAGTTGGCGCACCACTGTTTCTTCTTAGTCTCATCCACCGCCTGCTGCTTCTCCAGCTCCAGCTGCTTCTTCACCTCGGCGATGAGCCGGTCCCGCTCCTGCTCCAGGCTCTGCCGCATCTCGGCCATGGTCAGCTCTGGTGGAGGAGGGAAGAGACACCGGCCTCTTCACCTGCCCCCCTTCCGGGGCATGGAGTTCTTCACACCGATCAGATCAGCGGGATGGGGATTCCGACAGACCCAGCTGTGTGACCCCGAGTGAGTAACCTCACCTCCCTAGGCCCCAGTGTCATCTGTGAAAATGGGCATGTTCATCAGACTGACCTGAGGGGGCTGCTTGTGACAGTGAACACAGGTCCCTGGCAGGGAGAGAACCACAGCCCCTGGGGATTCTGTGCAGAGACCTCAAACCCTCAAAACAATTTCCACTGAACTCTGAGTTTTATCCATCAAATACTTACATAACACCTACTATACGCAGGTGCTCTCCTAAGCACCTTGTATTAACTCACCTCATCCTTACAGCAATCCTATGAAATTAAATTACAGCAATCATGAAATTAAAAAACAAGAACAACAGGACACCTCCAAAAACCACCATGGAAGAAAAATAACCCCTCATGAACAAGACCAGCCTTCCTGCCAGTCATATCTGCCTAGGAGACTACAAGCCATGGCAAGTTATGGACAGTCTACATGTATTTTTCAAATGTACGGCCAATTATTTAAAAATGGAGAGATTTGCATAATAGATTCTTCGACTTTACTAGAGACACAAGAAGCAACAATATCCTCATCAACTTCCTGCACAGCAACAGCTGAAGAGAGGAGGGCCCCTCTCCGTCAGCTAAAGGGCTGGAGTCTGCAATGCGTGATTAAACACACATCACCTGTGAGCAGGTGGGCACACCTGGGCATGCCTCCCTCACAAAAGACCTGACAGTTTCCAGCACTCTTGCTTCTGGAGCTGATACTGCAGGTTCAAGTTTCTGCAGAAACCACTCTAGCTTCGGGAAGAAAGCTTTTAACAGCACCTACACAGAATGGTGGACCTAAACAGCAGTCAATCCAATCCAGGGACTAAGAAAGCAGCTGTGTCCACAGTGTGAGCCACGCAGGAAGTCTGCAGGAATTTGTTAAAATGCCTGATACTCGATGGTTAGGAGGGAAAGTCTGAACCTGTGTGACTTTGAGAAACTTCCTTAACATGTCTGTGCATCAGTTTCTTCACCTGAAAACTGGGATAATGGAGCCCTTTCTCAGAAGGGCTTCTGTGAGAATTAAATCAGTGAGTGCATGAGAAAGTACTAAAAACGGTTCCTGGCACCATGTGGGAGTTCCGCAAGTAGGAGCTGGTACTCCCGCCATCACCCTGTTGCTGAAGTTCGAATTTCAAAGAGAGGAAAGGAGGGTTCCTGCTAACCCCTGCTTCTACACCAGTTTCTCCAGCTCAGAGTCTCCAGGACTCTGGGGTCTCCCCAGGAGTGGTCCATGCCCCTAGCCTACTTCTGACTCCAGAGGTGCAAGAAGTTCACATCCCAAACCTTCCTCCATGCAAACCAATCCACCAGCCTTACCCAAGTTGTGTTTCATCTCAGAGAGCTCTTGCTGGTGCAGCCACTGAAGCTTCTCTATCTCGATCCTCAGCCTTCGAATCTGTAACAAGGGATAGTAAGATTCTGAGAAAGAGTGTCTAGGGGGTGCTGCTGCTCACCAGTGGGGCTCACCAGTCTGAGCTCTGCCTGGCTGTGAGGGTCAATGCCACGTGGTGAACTGAGGAGCACGCAGGTGACCTGGGCCCCTCTTCCACAGCTGCTGTCCAGAGAGGTGTGCACCAGTGTCTTAAACCAAATCCAGGAGAAATTCTGCTTCAGAAAACAAAATACAAGCAGCCCGTCTTTTCCAAGAAATACTGGCTCCGGGAAAAGCCACTGAAAAGTGCAAACAAGGGCCAGGTTTTCAAAAACAAAAAAGTTGGGATTAGGACTTTGACCCCCAAAAATGAAACTAAAACAAACAAAAGTAACTTTATTCTATCTCTTACCTACCAGTTTAGGTAGGGTCCATAGGCAGTCACCTGAAATTCCAAAGCCTAACATAGGTATTTTTTGGCAGAGGGTGGTAAATTCATTTGGAGGGGGAAACAAATAAACTCAGCCTGAACCAGTATGAGGCCATTTGCAGTGTTTAATAATCGCAGTGGTTCTCAGCTGGGGTGATTTTGCCCTCCCCTCTCTATGACTCTCAATGTCTGGAGACATCTGGGGTAGTCACATCTGGAGGGGGTGCTACAGGCCTCTAGTATTCAAAGGCCATATTGCTGAACACATTACTATGGACAGGAGAGCCCCCATGACAAAATATTATCTGGCATCAATGTTAGTTGAGAAACCCTGACTTACCCCAGGTAGTATCAACAACTGTACATTTCACTGCAGAAATGCTGCATGTAGTGGGGGCAGTAGGGAGGGCTGCATATCACTTCTTTAAAATGTGAAAAATCCCAGCATGCAACTGGATTCAAAGTTTCAAGTGAGACCCTATGGATCCCCACTTTCAACCCTATGCCAGTTCTTCAACTGAACAAAGAGAAATGAAGTATGGTAGCAGGGAGGGAGGTTTTCCAAAGTCCACATTTCCCCTTCTCATCTGACATGCCCAGCATAACTGTACAAGGGTCACATGAGCAAAAATATGTGAGGGGATTTATTGATTTCTCTCTGGGCCCCTCTCAAACCTTTATAGTCATATTGTTCTCTGCTGATAGCCCACGAGGACTGCTTCCTGAAGATTTTCTCTTGTTTATCTGAGTGGCAGCTTAGCCCTGCCAGGCCCCCTCACAGGTCAATGGCTTTATGTGCATGAAATTCCCACAATTCTCCAACATCATTTCCAAAGACCTCAAGAAATCCTGCCACATGTCATTTTACCTGGCGACCTGTTTGCATATGGCTGCCAGTGAATATGCCAAAGAGCAAAGTTCAGGGAGGTCTATTTCCATAAATGGTCGCTTCATATGGACATTTTAATGTTTAAATGTTTAAGCACTCCACTCCCCAGGCAATCCCGAAACTGTGGAGGGCCAGTATACAAACTCTAAAGATAACAAATACGCCTTACACAGAAAGGCCCAGGCTTAAGGAGATCAAGCAGCAATTTTACATGGAGCCGAAGAAATGGTTTCTGGTTTCACCAGAGGGGTAACTCAGACTCTGGTTTGGCTCTTTTATTAGAAGTGAACCAAACACACAAGCCTGAGAGTCAGCCTTCAACTAAGGGCAGAAATCCCCTCACCAGCACCACCATCAGCAGAGCATGTGTGGCCTAGTTCCAGAGAAGCTTCTCCACGGCACCATTTTACAGCAGCCCATAAAACACCCTTAAGCAGGGAAGGAATTCACGTGTCACCTCTGACCTCAGCTATTGTGCTTCCAGTAGTGTTTTTAGAAAGATCATTGTATATTTCTGTCATGGTTCCTTTTATTGCATCCATCATCTGAAAGATAAAAAAAACAGAAGAAACAGTTCGGGTGATCACCTCCCTGAAAGCTTTTCTAAGCGAAACACATATAAAACCCATCTATATAAAGCAGTGGTTCTCAACTGGGGCAATCTGGTCCTTCACACGCCATGTGACATTTTTGGTTGTCAGACTGGTCAGGGAGGAAAGGGGGCGCTAGTGACATCTAGTAAGGTGGAGGCCAGGGACATGCTAAATATCCCACAGGCCCAAAACAGGCCCCACAACAGAGAATTATCCAGCCAGTGCTGAGGCAGAAACACCCTGGAATGAGCCAGGGTAGGCATCACCTATCCATTCCCTGTCTCTCACGGCAGGAGTAGTTCACAAGCACAAAGCTCACTTCCATGGCCACAGGCTAACTAGGGAGGCCAAATCTGGCCCCCAGATATGTTTACTTTGTTTTGGCCAGCACAATGGGTTCAAGGGAGGGACTGTTTTATAAATCTTTCCCCTTAAAAAAACAACTGTTTTTATTGTGATGTTATTCATATGCCACACCATTCCCGCATTTATACAGTGTACAGGTCAATGGCTTTTCGCATATTCAGAGTTGTACATCCACCCCCATAATCAATTTCAGAAGCTCTCCCTGGCCCCAAAAAGATCCCTCATCCCCCAAGACTCCCTTGGTCCCCCTACCAAATCCTGGCAACCAATGATCAGCTTTCTATCTCAATGGATTTGCTTCCTCCAGGTATTCCATACACGGAATCCCACTATCTGGTCCTTGTGACGGCCTTCTTGGATTTAGCACAACGTTCAACACTCATCTGTGCTGCAGGGTATATCCGGACGTCACTCCTTTTTATGGATGACACTACAGTCCACTGCGTGGATACAGTTGGCACGTTACTGGAAGGCCTTTCCTCATTCACTGCCCTGCCAGTTAGTCTCCCATCTTCTCTTCCTTTAACTCTCTGACCACTGGAGGCATCAGCCAGTTCATGCTTAGGTCCTTGCAGCAAGCATCCGGATGTCTGCTGCCCCGATGGGTCTGAGCATGACTTTCTCTTCTACCAGCTGACCCTCCCCCACCACAGGAGAGAGGAGGGGACAGGAAACCAAACCAGATCTCAGGCCTGGCCTGGCTGCTACGTCTCCCCTGTGCCTTGGAGTTTGTTACAATTGACTAACTAAGAAGGCAAGACAAAGCGCATGTTACATCTGAGCCCAAATTTGTTCCCCCCATTACCTTACCACCCAATACTCTCTGAGCCTCAGTTTCCCCATGTAGAAAACAAGGCTAATATCGGGGTGCCTACCCTCTTAGGATGTGCTAGCCACAGGAAAACTGTGGCTCAGTACCTTCCAGAGTAGATGTTCAGAAAGAAATCCCCATTCATCTTAGTTTTACAGAAACTGAAATTCACATGAGCATATAATTGCAAAACTGCAAACCTCCAAAATAGTAACCTAAATGCACCCTAAATGGGAGGAAAATGAGTAAGAGATCTGTTCAGATTTCCACCCCCAGGTTGTCTCAGGGGCTGCACAGGGACCTGCCAGGAAAAACACTTTGTGCTTTATGCAGCTTTCCAGTCAGCCATGCTGTATGGGCCTCCTTACCCGACTACACCACTGCATCAATTTAAAATATTAGAACTAAATTGCTTTACAAGAAAATTTTAGAAAGTGGGTGAAATTCAATATGTTACTAATGCAACGGTTATATTCTATTTTAAAGAAATCACGAATTTGTGGACTGACATTCCCTCTTATTTCCAAAAATAGCAAGGAACTCAATACTAATAAAGAGCCCTCTTCTGCCAAAACACACAAATCATGAGTCTTCAACTCCGGGTCACCTTGGAGACAGCGAAGTTCATCAGCTCCAAAAATATGTCACTGTGTTCATTTTCTTAAACTGCAAAGAAAATGTCCATCAAACAAAGTTCATTCCACTATTTGCCTCAAAGAGTAAAGGGGGCTGCAGAGGTAATGCAATAAAAATGGCTGCAGGGGTTGAGAAAACTAGCTCCGCACAAACCACTAGCCACAACTACGCAGCTGGCCTCAGTTTTCCCACCTGTAAATAGACAGCTTGGAGCAAATCAATGGAAAACTGATACAAGGGTCATTTGCAAGCAGAACAAGAGACCATTCAGACAAGATATCTCCTATCAATAATGAAAAAAGTATCCCCTCCCTTTCAATTCTCTTGTAAACCCACAGATCACGTTAGGAAGAAAGTCTCAAATGTTTGATACTAGCCTGTAACAATTTTCATGACAATCTCTCTTCAACAAAAGGAGTGTGGTCTTGGGCTTTGAGCCTTGACAGTAACAGGATCTGGCAAGGTTAAACTTAATTCTTCTTTGCATCCATTTAAGTAAAATTTAATTTAAATAAAAATATTAAATCAATACTAGTTCAGGTGGTGAGCAGGTAAAGGCAAAAAGTCTTGGGAATGGCATTATTTTTATATAACTTTTAATATATAACATATACTGTGTATAGCAAATCTATATAATATATAGATTATAGATAGTCTATTATATAGATTATATTATATAAAATATAATTCTAAGTTGATGGTTATAATATATATTTTAAAATATATTATGTATTTATTTATATTTTTTAATATATAAAATAACTGACACCTGACTCCTACCTGTTCTGAAACTCGGTAACTCTGTAACAAGTCATGCATTTTATTCAAAAGGGAAACAGACCCAGTAAATAAGGGACAAAGTTATCCCCAAAACCAGTTCTGATTCTCTCATAGGCCACACTTAATCCTAAGTGGGGTTGCTTTAAAAAGCCACAAGTAAGAACATTCGGTTTGTGGACACTGCACATCTACGATCAGCAGGCTTTGTGTAGATCCACAAATCAGCTCAAAGCCACACTCTCTAGATCCTGGCTGCTGCCAATTCCAATCCCCGTTCACCCATTCGCTGACTGTGGCCCCAGTGCACAACCCCCTGGAGCCTCAGTTTTCTCATCTCTAAAATGAGGATGATACTAGTATCCACCTCATCAGGTTGTCAGGAAGACTGAGAAATTACCAAAGTGCTTAGAGCAGTGCCTGGCCCAGAGTAAACGCCATGCACACTTTAGTTATTGCTGGCATCATCTACCCAGTGTGACAGGCAGACCGTCTGATGGCCTCCCATGATCCCAGTGCTCTGGTGCTTGTGGCCTGTGTCATCCCCCACCTGTGGCGTGGGCGGGCTTAGCAACCTTCTTCTAACCAACAGAATACGGCAAAGGATTCGTCACTTCTACGATCAGGCTGCGTGACATCCTGACTTCCATCTTCCTATCAGACTCTTGCTGGCTCTGATGAAGGCAGCTGCCATGCTGGGAGGGCCCATACAGCCAGGAACGGAGGGCAGCCTCCACCCAGCTGGGAACTAAGGCCCTCATCCCAGCAGCCCTGCTCATAATCACCTAAGTGAGTCAGGAAGTGGACCCTTTCTCAGTCCAGCCTTTAGATGAGACCCCAGCCCCACAGACACCTGACTGCAGCCTGCAGAGGCCCTAAAGCAGGGAACCCAGCTGAGCCAACCCAGACTCCCAACCCACAGAAACTATGAGGTAAGAAACGCATGTTGTTTAAAGTTACTACACTTTGTGGTAATTTGTTATGCAGCAATAGATACCTAACACACCTAGATAAAAGGAATAAAAAGAAACTGGTAAAAAAAAAATTATATGTGTATGTCTCTCACCCTCCAGAACTAAAAAAAGAGTGTACCTTTAACACAATAAAGCAACTCTTAATCATGAGACTTTAAGGGATTCTAAAAACAACTATTCTCAACTACTATCACCCATTCTCTTTATAAAATTGAATTGTTTATTCATTAGTAAACAATTAGTAATCCACTCATTAGTAGAGAGGAAGTTACTATTATTCTCTACTTAGTAATTTACTAAACACTTTTAGATTGTTACTCATTAGCTATTAATAGTTACAGACAGTAATAAGCCCAATGGAGATAAGTTAGGGAGCACCATGCATTCACTTGGCAACTCTGTCTCCAGTACCTACTGTGTGCCAGGCACTTTTCTAGGCCCTCGAGGTGAACAAAACAGATGGAATCCTGCCCTCACGGGGCTGACATTCTGGGGATCCTTACTAGCGAGTGTTCTCTTTAGAGCGCCCTCACGGGACTCGAAGGATAGCGGCAGGATTCACTCCCCCCATATTCAGCAACAAGCACTGCCTTCAGTCCATCTTGGTTCCTGGAAATACCTAGCTACCGGCATCATACCTTGCAAGTTGTTTCTGTCCCATGTGGCTTTTAACTAACCATGTGGCTGCAAACTAACGTCTCGGTCTACTGTTCACCAATGGAGTGGTATTTGTGCTAGCACTTAAGGAAAATCTGTCCTTGATTGAGTGACTTGCGTTCTGAAGGGTGATTTTCACTCTTATGTCATGTTCCTGTTACATACTGACTTTAGAATCTAAGGCCTCTCAGACAAAGATTCAGCCCATTCTATGTTTCACTCCTTAGCTCTGACTTCAGACCCTAGAGGAAGGATTTGGTCATGGGAGATCCTCCAGAAACACAAGGTAGGCCCTCCTCAACACCCCCTAAAACTGCGAGGCCCTGCTCCCAACCAGGCCGCCACCAGCACTCACTTTGCTAGTGTACTTGGCAATGTCCGCGGCAACATCTGCCGAGGCGGTGGCGATGGGCAGGTCGGCGCTGACTGAGGATGCGAGGCTGCTCGTGGTCCCTGAGCTGGTGACCAGGGGTGACGACTGAGTGCTGGTCACCAGGGTGATGGTGGAGGTGGACGGGCTCTGTGTGATCTCCTTCTGCTGGACAGCTAGGAAAGCAAAGGGTCCTGGTCACTCACTGCCATGGGAAGGGCCCACCCAGCCCTAAGCCGTGGGGAGGGAGTAGAGCCCGACACATGTCCTTCAAACTTTTCTACTCTCCAGGGATGAGGATGCCCCCGTTGACCGAACTCCAGCCAGGCCCCTCTAAGCCCTTCCTCGAGGAGGCCTCAACCTTGGCTGGCAAAGACTTGAACAAACACTACCGTGACCTCCAACAGCTCAAGGCCACACCCCTGGGATGACCCCAGTCCCCCTATTAAATTTCCTGAGAAAACTCAAGACTGCACAGGGGTTTACTGTCCAGCGAACACCTGAGGATGCACCCCTGACTCCCAGCCTCTGGGAGGGGAGGAGCCTAACTTGTACAGTTACCAGTTAGCAAACGCAGCTGGGTTTCAGTGGACCAACTCCAACTTCTCATTTTGGATAATTTTTCATTTCCCTGACTCAATACTGAGTCCCCACTCACGTCCCTACTCACTATCTCTTTAGAGTGCCCAGGCCCCTGTACACAAATCAGAATGGACTTCAGTTCATGCTGGACTTTTTCCCTATTGCAACAGTAAATTACTGGTTAAAATTTGTCCTTACCACTTGAACTAGAGTCGAGCTTTATCTCTGACGAAAGACAGTCTGGAAATTGAGAACCATTCCGTCAATGAGCATCCTCTTACCCGCACCGACATCCCCCTGGGGAAGCTCATAATGCTTTCGGGCTATGAAGAAGACTGGGACGGGTCACCCCTATCTCAGGTACCCTGGGTTCAGTTCTGCTCCACCAACTCTAAACAGCAAAACCAATCTAGCTGTTGGTCCCCCAGCCAATCTCTGAAGGGTTTCATTGGAGGCCAATTCAAGATCTGGTTGCCTTTCAACCTCGTTATTCTGCTGCTACTTTTTAAGAGTTCCACTCTCACTGGAGTGCACTCACCATATGAGTTTCAACCAAGGAGCCCAACCTTCAAGGACCTAAAGGCAGATCTCCCCATGGAACAAGATCTACATC